GCTGGGCCTTGCACTGTTCTGGAGCTGAGATGCCCACCCGTCTGAACAGGTGGAGGGATGCACAGCCTTAGCTGGGAGGCTTTCTCAGCTCCCTGCCTGCAGTGTCTGCCTCTTCCACATCAAAGACACTGTTACCTTGTGGGAAGTGAAAGGTGTCTCTTTAGAAGCAGGGAGACCTGAAGACCTTGCATTTCCAGCCAGTCCAGAGGAAATCAGGTTAGTGAACAGGTACAGAATGTCCAGCATGTGAGACGACTCTCGCTGTTAGCTTTGCAAAAGCAGGTGAGAAGTCGTGTTCCAGTCCGTGTTTCTCAGCTTGGCAGCATCCCCAAAGGAGTGAGAAGTACTGCCTTTTGCAGAGAGGTGCCATGTGCTTGACTTGCCTCATGCCCCAGGGGCACAGTGCTTGCAGCAGGAACTGTGTGTGCCCCGGGGGCCGTGGGCAATGCAGCAGCACTGACCGCCATCCAGCAGAACCTTGCTGAGAGATGAGGAGCCCAAAGCTACCACAGTTATGGAGAAACGTGGAGAAAGGTGCTGGTTTGAGAAATGTGGAAGAAAAAACATCTGGATCCTCTCTCTTTAGTATGAATCAGCAATGTGAAGAGAGTTTCTCCAATGCGACCTGAAATTTAGTCAGTTACATCTGCATGTTAGCCCTAATAAAACACGTTGCCCTTCTCTGCAAGATCCCTCTGTCAAGCAATGCACTGCAACAAAGCACAGTTGGAGCACCACTGCCTCTGTTCCCCCTCCATAGGCACAGCAACTGCCTGGGGCACCCTGGCAGCCTCAGGGGGACACCTGCAGGGACCCCGTCCTCATCCGATGTTCGTGCTGCTGAGAGTCACAGTGAGTGCCCTGCAGCACAGGGATGGCTCACGTGGGCACAGGAACATGTTTGGGTGCTGTTCTGCTGGCAGCACAAGACAGCAGAGCTCTGTCAGGAGCAAATGGGGCATCAGTACCTGGGAGAATCCAAAGAGCACTTATTCAGCCTGTATCCAGAAAAGGCGATCAGTGACATTAGCAGGTGCTCATGTTGTGAGGCTGCTTGTGGGACAGACACCTCCTGTGCCATCTGTCAGGGTGGCTCTGAGTTTGTTTGAAAGGAAGAAGGGGTAGAGATTGGGCCCTCGTGGTTTTCTGTCAAGGTGGCCTTTTCTGTTCTCCCATCGCTGCCAGCTTCCCTGCTGAGGGCAGACATGTCTGCTACCTTCAGCAGCTGTGTCCTCCTGGCTTCTCACTCTATTCTTGCCACTCCTCTTCTGGATGGAGTTTCCCAGCCCTGTGAGGCTGCCAGGTGAACCACCACAGCCTCTGCAGACCATTGCCAGTCCTTTCCCTACCAGCAGCTTGCTGGCTCTGCTCTCCATACCACAGCCAGGCTGTTCACAGCCAGATCTTCTTTAAGCCATTTCTTTTCATCAGTTTTTTGTGCCTGCTTGCTTGTTTTGCAATCTCTGCCTGGCCTGGCCATGTTGGACTGAAACCATTCACTGCTGGGGAGCATGAATACAGGCAGAAGTCTCTGGTGCATCATTGAAGGTCACACTGCCCAGCTCTGCTAACAGTAGGAGGTGAGGCTGTGTGCCTCCACAGGGCTTTAAGCCTCACACTTTGCAACAAAGTAGAGGTATTTCAAACTGACCCAAACTGTGGCATTTTGAATTTTGAATTACCTTAATGATTCCTGTCCAATTTCTCTGCCTGCAAGTCTTAGCAGGAAAATACCAGAAACTATTCTTGATACTGAACATATCTTGGGGTACAGAGCAAATTCTCTCTCCTCCATGTGGAAATTTCTGCTCTGGCAACAGGAAGCTGAGACCTGAATGCTCACTGCAGCCTTGCTATGTTTTCTATATCAAGGTTGCCTCAGGAGACTCACAGAATGTTCCTGTTTTCCTCCTCACAGTGGCAGGGTGAACAAAGAGAAGCAGATTTGGAAAATTCTTGGAAAGGACTTTGTATGTTCTATGTCTGGTTGGTTGGTTTGATGGTTTTTCCCCCCCTTCTCTCAGCAAATAGTTTATTTTAGGGCCAGCCAAGTTTCTTTTCACTGACAGAGATATCTTTCTTCTATTTTTTATTCAAGTTTTGTATGAACAACTTAGTTACTTGGTTCTCCTTCCTTCAAGGTACTGGAAAGCACCTTCTGGTGGGGGGAGCTGCCAGCTCCAGCACTGCCACATCCAAAAAATGCCCTGGAACTGCAGGTTGGTTAAAACCGCACCAGGAGCCGTGCTAACAGCAGTCGGGCTCTGGGTCTCTCTGTCGCTGAAGCATGAAGCACGGTTTGTGTTAACACCTTCCACCGGCCCTGAAGCTGCAGAGAATAGCTCCCAGTGTTTCCTAGGCTGTCAGTCCAGCCCCCCAGGAGCTCAGAAATGCAGGAGCTGTGCGGCCAGCAGACCTTTTCTTGTGGGAGGGCTGCCTTGTTTGCTCTCCTCAGCTTTCAGATGCCATCCTGCTTCCACCTTGCTGCATGCTGGGCCTCTCGAGGACGTGCTCTGTTTGCTTAGGAGGAGGGCAGGCACTTCCCATAACGCTGCTTTTCTTTCCATCCGACCGTTTTTCCCTCTGAACAGGAAGTCTGGTGGCAGACTGGCGCCTACCGGCTGTCACAAGGGCTGAGAGGGGCTGGGTGGGGGCTGGGGTGGGTGTCTGAGGGGCAGAGGGATCTGTATCCTCATCTGCAGCACGCCTAGGTCAGCAGAACTGGCACTTTATTGGGTTGGGAATCGGGGCATGAGCCGGGACCGTGTCCCCATGTGGTGTCATGTTGGAGTGTGGACGTGGAGACAGGTGCCAGGCTAACCAGGCTGTTACCTGGCACTGCTACACTTCAGCAAATGGCAGCCATTCCGTTTAGCAGGCACAGAAGCAGCTGAGGGCACTGTGTAGCAAAAGTCATGCTGCAGATATCAGCTGCCTTGCCCCTTGTTTTGCTCAGGGGACAACCGTAACATTACTTTTCTCTGCAGCACGCATCAGTGGATTCTTACCTACTGAAGCAGAGTCCTAAAACGAAGGAGCTCTGTCATCTCCCAGGTAAGATATCCTGAGATATCCTGCCCCAGCCCACTGCTGGCACCACACAGAGCAGTGTTTGCCTTCTCTCTTCTTCAGAGGTTCTGGAGCTTTCTGATGATGTTTTACCCATTTCACACACGTTTGCATTTTGTCTGTCCCACACTTACCCGCATCCTGCTTTCTCAGGTCGTTCTGTCTGATATGCCCGATCCAACCTGAGATCCTATTTTTTTCACTTTACAGAGGACAATTTCTACTCACACGAGTGCAATGGATTGTGGAGTCAGGGAGGACACCCTGCAGGAGGACAAACCTGCTCTGGGAGAGCAAGATAGCAGAGAAGCATGCTGCGTTCCTTCACACCTGTGCAGCAAGTGCTGCTCCGAGTCCCACTGGAAAGAGGCAGGGCAGGAGGGGCAGAGCAGTTGCCCTCTATGTTAAAGAGGCAGGTGGTGCGAAAAGCTGCTTCTCAGAAACTTCCACAATCAGGTTGAGAGCCCATGGGTGAAAATCAGGGACTGAACCAATACAGGATAGCTGGCGGCCAGATCTACCAAAGGCCACCTGAGCAGGGCAGCCCAGGGCTGAGGCCTTCTTGCTACAGCTGCAGGAAGTGCTGTGCCTGAGGGCTGTCATTTAGTTGGGGGATTTTAACCACCCAGATATCTGTTGGGAAAGCAGCATAGCAAACTGAAAGACTCCTGGAGTGTGTTTGAGAACATCCTGGTGCAGGTACTAGACAAACCAAGCAGAAGAAAAGCATTTGTGGAGCTGGAGCTCATTAAAGAGACTGAGATTGGAGGCACCCTGGGCTGTAGTGAGTCATGTTTGTGATCTTGAGAAGGACGGGCCTGGCAAAAAGCAAAATCAGGACCCTGAACCTGGGAAAAGCAAACTCCTGTTTAAGGAATTCCTCGGTGAGATCCCCTGGGAAGCTGCCCTTGGAGACAAAGGAGTGGAGCAAAGCCAGCTACTCTTCAAGGAAGAGTTCTGAGCACACAAGAGCTCATTGTCCCCCAGTACTGGAAAACAAGCAGGGGAGGCAGAAACCCAGCATGACCTGGCAAGGATGTGCTGGTCAGATCGAGAGGTAAGGACACGTACAGGCAGTGGAAGCAAGGATGTGTGACCTGGCAGAATACAGGGATGCTGTCCGGACATGCACAGATGGGATCAGGAATGCCAAGGTGCAGACGGAATTGCTCTTGGTGAGGGATGTTAAACTCAACAAGGGATTCTACAGGTACAGGTCAGAAGAGACAGACCAAAGAGTTCCTCTGGTAGATGGGAAAGGAGAGCTGGCTACATCAGACATGGAGAAGGAGTGGGAACTGGCAGCCAGGATTCTTGTATTTCTCACATCCCTGAACCTCACGTCCCAAAACCTCTGGGTGGGACCTGGGGGAGCAAATTCCCCGGCACTGTAAGGGCAGAGCAAGTCCCGGACTGACTCATAAGAATGAATGCATACAAGTCTATGGGGCTGGATGACATGCATCCCAGGGCTGATGTGGTTGTTGAGCCGCTCTCCATCATAATAAAAAAGTCACGGCTGTCAGGTGAAGTCCCTGGAGACTGAAAGAAGATCACTCCCATGTATAAGAAAGTGAAAAAAGAGGCCGTGCACCGTGTTGAAATAATGCCGAGAGCTTTCTGCTTCGTGTGGAAATGCAAGAACGGGTGTCATCGTCGTCAGTTTCCCGAGCACGAAGTTCCCAGCTCCTCCAATATCCTCGGCGGAGGACGTGAGCAGCCAAACGCCTTTCGCCTCAGCAGGCGCAGAGCCGACAGCCGCGTGCCCTGCAGGGCCGGGCGGGAGGCGCGCGGAGGGAGGGGAGGAAGACGGAGAGGAAGAGGAAGAGGAGACGGAGCGGTAGCCGAAGAGCCGAGCAGGGGCAGGCGGCCGCCCCGCCCCGCCCCGCCGCGTCCCGGGACCGCCGCGGCCGCTCGGCAGCGCTGCGAGGATGGAGCCGCCCGAGGAGGTGCGGGCGCGGCTGGAGCGGGCCGGGCAGGGCCACCTGCTGCGCTTCTGGGCCGAGCTGGACCCGGCGCAGCGCGCGGAGCTGCTGGCCGCGCTGCCGTCCGGGCTGGGCGAGCACTGCCGGCTGGCGGCGGCCTGCGCCCGGCAGCGGGAGAACCCGGAGCGCCTGGACGGCCGCGTGGAGCCGCTGCCCGCCGCGCTCCTGGGCAGCGCCCGGCACTGCGGCCCCGCCGCGCTGCGGCGCTGGGAGGACGAAGGTGAGCGGGCGGGGGGGGGGATCGCCGCCGGGGGGAGCGGGCGCGGGGATCGGAGCGGCCGCAGGCGGTGCTGCTCGGCCCGGCGAAGAAGCGTCGTCTCTTGAACCGCTGGGTTTTGGTGAGGCTGCGGAGGCCGCGGCTGTTGCTGAGGTTGGCAGGAAGGTGCTGTCAGGGCGGACTCGCGAGCACAGCGCTTTCACGACGGAATGCCAGAAATAGCGTTCTCTGCCCGCGAGCCGCCCCGTGCTGCCCGTGCGCTGCCATCCCCGGCGCTGCTCGAGGCTGCGGTGCCCCGATGGCTCCCGACTCAGCGCTGCGCCCAGCGGGATCCCCGCGGCAGAGCGGCGTCACGTCGGGGCGGCGGCCATGGGCCGGTGTGAGCTGTGTAGCCGTGGTGACTGTCACAGCGTGTGGTGTCGACGTGCACGAGGGCAGGATGTCGGCGAGGCAGGCAGCGCGGTGACTGCTCTGTTGGCGTGGGGACTTGCCATGCCCAGCCCTGAAGATGGCCTGTCGGGTCCCCAGCTCATAACAAGGGTTGCTGAGGCACTTGGGATCAACATATTTAACTCACACTTCAAACAATTAAATGCAGCGGCACAGACTGGAGAGGCACGAGGTTGGCGGGACGTGGAACGGCCGTGTTCACAAAAATACAGACAGTGAGCCTTGCTGCTGGACCCAGAGCTGCAGCAGAGCACGCGCTGCCTCGTGGGCTGCAGCTGTGCTGAGGGCAGTGCAGCATTAGCACAGGGCCTCTGTCCTGGGAGGAAGATGAGAATAGAGAGCAGAGTAGAGAAGTGCTGACGTGGCAGGTAGTGTAGGAGACACTGTGTGCCTGGCCAGGCCGATCCAGCCGGCCTGCCTGCATCCCTCTGGTGAGCTGCTGGGCACTGCATGGCTTGCCAGGCCACTGTTTTTGGAGCTGGCAGCTTTCCCTGGTCATGTCCTGGGACCATGAAGGATTGGGCTGATGGGAGAGGTGGTGCTCAGACCTGGGCTGTGTGCAGTGGGGTGCTGTGTTTCCCCCTTCCCATCATGTGTGTATTACACATCTTGTGCTTTTTTTCTGAGCGTACATCCTGCTTCTTCTCAAAGCCATATCCCCTTTTTCTTTACAAAATACAGCAGTGCTGTTTGATAAGTAAATCAGTGCAAAATTGAAAGAAAACAAGAGAAAGACAGCTGTGGCCAAAGGAGTATCCTGAAGTGTGGCAACCATCTGCACAGTCCTGACCCACAACAGCCAGTGAAGACGTGGGGCCACGTGGGCAGAGGAGTAAAAATTTCCAAACGGAAACAAAAATGCAGAAATAGAAGTGATGAGGTTCCAGAGCAGAAGAGCTTTTCTGATGTGTCAGACTCCCCAGATGGGGCCGAGTGGTGATGAAGCAGCTGCCCTGCTGCTGGGGCAGAGCTCTTTGGGGTCCGGCATCAGTTCTGCCGCGTGCCTGGGCTGGCTCCTGGTTAGTGGTCACAGCGTTTGTGCCCAGCCAGGTTACCCCGCAGCGGTGCTGACGTCCCACCGGGCCTTTCTGCACAGGGCCTCCCTGATCGGAGTGGAGTGGCAGCAGCAGCCCACAGCAGCCACACAGGAGTGCCAAGGAGGGCTTGGAAGCAGACCTGTGAGAATCGTGCTTGCTGCTTCAGGCTTGAGCATGTCAAATTGAGGAGCAATGAATTTTAGGGATGGACTGATCTAGGTCAGAGCTGCGCAGTTAATTTAACTGCTTTACTAAACTAGACAGCTAGGCTCTTCGTCTGCAGCTCCAGGCCAGAGAGAGGCCCAGCTGACTTGTGCCAGTGTCAGCAGTGAGCAAGGCAAAGTGTGAGGCCGGCCTTCCTTGCTGTAAGCAGTTCTCACCGGTGGGAGTTTGGAAGGCCCCATGTGACTGGACTGACTGCCAGCACCCCACAGAAGTCACTTGAGCCTAGAATCCAGACTGCCCTGATCCCTATCTAGCCTGCAGGCCGCTTCTGATTTCCACCAGGAGAGAGGGACACAGTTTTTAAATTTCACACGGCATTGCTTTTTACGGTGCAGTTTAATCCCTGGGAGCGAGACCTTGTGGTGCTGACCCCCAGCAGTGTTGGCCTGGAGGCTGGTATGCGAGCAGTGCCTTTGCCCAGGGTGTGCTGCAGGGCCCAGGCTGCGTTCAGTGGCAGTGAGCGGCGTTGGCTCTGGCTTTCCTCCCTCTGTGCCCTGGGAGGACGCAGGCTCCCAGGGTCCTTCCTTTTGAGTGAACCTCTGGTGGTGTTGAGCTGGGACATGAGCAGAATGGACCTGGTCCCAGCCAGGCCTTCATGCCCAGCTTGCCAGCTGCCTTGACCAGGGGCTGCATGTCTCTGTGCAGCCTTTCCCCCACGGATTGGTGTCACCCCTCAGCTGAGCTCGCCGTGCTTTGTGAGCAGGCGTTCAAACTCCCGGCAGCTCCCACCTGCAGCAGTAGTTCATCTTCAGGTGAAGACCAAAGAGTGACAACACTGTTCTCTTGACCTTTCCTCTTCCCCCTTTTGGGATTAAAAAGCAATTCTCAGAGGATCCAATCAATTCAGAAATTATTCTTGAGAACACCCAAGATATTTTTAAGCAGTTAAAAAGATTAAAAAAAAAAATCCATCTGTCATTGTCTCTGAGACATTAGTCTTAGCACATACAGACTTGCTTTCTGGGCCTTAAACACAAACATGAAGTGGTCACTTTCTAGGCAGCATTATGGATAATGACATAAATCAAGCACAGATGCTTTCAGATACTGTCCTTATTTTATTTAGAATCATAGCATCACAGAATTGCAGCACAGATGGATGGGAGAGACCTCACAGCTCCCAGTCCCATCCCTGCCATGGGCTGGCTGCCCCTCAGCTCAGGATGCCCAGGGCCCATCCAGTGGCCTTGGGCACCTCCATGGATGAGGCAGCACAGCTCTGGGCATGGTGCTGGGGCCTCACTGCTCTCTGGGTAAAGAATTTCTCTCTAACATCTAACCTAAATTTCCCTTCTTTTGGTTTAAAATCATTCTCCCCTGTCCTGCCACTATCACGCAGTGTAAGAAGTCATTCTCCCTGCTGTTCATAAGCTCCCCCTAAGAACTGGAAGGCTGCAGTGCGGTCTCCCCGCAGCCTGCTCTCCTCCAGGCTGAGCACCCCCAGCTCCTCAGCCTGTCTTTGCAGCAGAGGTGCTGCAGCCCTCTGAGTGTCCTCGTGGCCTCCTCTGGACCCGCTCCAGCAGCCCCACGTCTTTCCTGCGGGGGCCCCAGGCCTGGACGCAGTACTGCAGATGGGGCCTCACGAGGGCAGAGCAGAGGGGGACAATCCCCTCCCTGCCCGCTGCCAGCCCTCTGTTGGTGCAGCCCAGGGTGCTGCTGGCCTCCCGGGCTGCGGGCGCGCACACTGCTGCTCGTGTGCAGCTCTGTGCCCACCAGGACCCCCACGTCCTTCTCTGCACGGCTGCTCTCAAGAAGATCTTCCCCCAGTTTGTATAAATGCCTGGCATTGCCCCAACCCAATGCAGCACCTCACACTTGGCCTTGTTGATGCTCATTAGGTTTTCATGGGCCAACCTTTCGTGCCTGCCCAGGTCCCTCTGGATGGCATCCCTTCCTTCTGTTGTATCAGCTGTACTCAGCTTTGTGCCATCTGCAAACTGCAGAGGGTGCACTCAATCCCGCTGCCTGTGTTACTGGTAAAGATGATGAAGAGCTCTGGTCCCACTTTGGCCCCCCAGGGGACACCACTCATCACCGCCTTCACCTGGACATGGAACCGCTGACCACAACCGTCTGGCCGCGACCATCCAACCCATTCCTTCTCCACCAAATAGTCCATCTCTCCAATTCAGAGATAACAGATCCCTGCCCTCTACAAGGACAAACACTAGTGTGCTCTCAGGCTTGGAGGACAGAGGAGCCAAATGCCCCATGTGGGACAGAGGCTGTGAGCCCACGCTGCAGCTGCTCTGTGACTTGGGTTATGTCCCAGTGAGGCAGCAGTTCAGCACAGCTGGTGCAGCTATGAATGAGCCAGGCACTTCTTGTATCCAGAGAAGCAAGTCTCTGGAGCCACCTGCGTGGTGTTGTACCTATGCACTGTCTGCAGTGATGGGCTTATTCTGCAGTTCTGTGGCACTTGTACAGCCATGGCCGGCTCTGTCCTGCTGCTGCTGAGCGTTGCTCGGCCTCTGTGCCCACAACCAGCTGTTGGGTTTTTAATGTTGTTGGCTGTCATTGGAGAATAATTCATTCTGTGCAGTCCTTGGTCACAGGTGTGACAAGAAGCCTGCTCTTGCCAGTGGTAGTGGCTGAGGGCTGTTCTTTGCTCAGACACCACTGTTTATCTTGCTTTATGAGAGGCTTGTCATTACTGTGGAGACGCAGTCAAGTTTGTCCAGGGATAAATTGACAACACAAGAGGCAGCACTTTGTTTGCAAAGTGGCAGCTAGCTGTGCTGGTTGAGCTCAACAGAACCATAATGGTCGTTTTCCCTTTTCCTGGGATACAGGGCTGGGAGACAACAGCAGGATGTGTGCAGCTGCATTTCGCTCACAGTAATACCCACTGCTTCAGTCACAGGGGTGACTTTCCATTCCTTGCCACCGCTGTGACCCACACTGAGCAGAGTTTAGCTTTGCTTTCTAATCACAGCTGATAATTTTCTCATCCCTGCCAACCCCTGAACTGGTGTTTAACTGCTTGCCCCTCCATCCTTTGGGTTGGTGTGCAGGTTTTCTGCTACAGCAGGGGCTGTATGAGGCACCAGTCCAGCAGCCAATGCAAACAGTGTGCCAAGCACTCAGCAGCAGCTGGTAGCAAACCACAGTGACACAGCCAGTACCTGAGAGCTGCACTGTGCTTTGTTACATCTTTTGCAGTAAAGGTGCGGGGGAGCCACGAATTGTTTGGGCTTTGTTACACACGTGTGCTTCTTTTGCTTTCATGACTGCTAAGGAGCTCAGATGTCGGAGCTTTGCTGTAGTAGAGCTGCGTGTTTCAGTGTACAGCTCTCACAGTACTGTTGTCTGTGCCTTTTTAAGTTTAAAGCATTCAGGCTTTCCTGTTTAGCCAAGAACCTTCTGAAACTTTGAAACCCCCAGACCCAAGGTGCAGGCTTCCTGCTAGAAAGCTCTCCTACCCCATTTGAAACCAGAGGTTGGGCTACAGATCTCTAGAGGTCCCTTGCAACCAAAGTTTTGTGATCCTATGAATTCCAAGTCCTGTTTGCAGCAGTGATGGCAGTGCTGTGTAATTGGCTTCCTGCAGGCCGCCTGACCCAGCGTGGTGATCTGCAGGGAGACAGAATATGGAGGCAGAAACATTGTCCTACATTGCAGGGAGAGTCGACAGTATTGCTACAGTGACAGGGGACACTTACATCTGTGTTCCTAGTGCTGGAAGCTAGATTTTTAAACAAAATTAAAACCAAGACATGTTTTTCCAGCAGCAGTTGGTATTTTTCCTTCTTACTGCTCATTTGAACAGATGATTATTTAAAGCATAAAAATTACGATTCTGATTTCTTTCTAAAGCAGTGTTTTTGGTCCCTGTGTCTTTTAGTCTGAGTGCTGAAAGATGTCCCTGTTTGAAACAGAGCTGCCCCAGCCCTAGGGCAGCTCAGCAGGGCTTTGTCTGAGTCTTGACAACCCCAAGGTACAGTTGCCCCCATTCTCTGCAGGTCTTTTCCAGGGATGCACCACTTTCCCAGTAAACCATTTCTAATGTCCAGTGCGAACATGCTGAGCTGCACTCAGAGCTGTTTCCTGTTGTTACACCATCTGCTGCTTCAGATAAGGGAAAAGTGTATCAGAGAGGAGATTTGTTTTAATGTGGCACACAGCACCCTTCTGCTCTCTGAACTACCAGCAGTTGGCATGGAACAGCTTCTGGCTGTTGCCTGAGCTCTGTAGAAGGGCTCAGGGGAAGGGCACAGGACGTGGACCGTCTTTGTGATTCTCATGTTCTCTTTGGCTTCTTTCTCCCGTTCAAGGTTTGCAGCAGATCTCACAGAACAAAGTGGCAGTGCTGCTGCTGGCTGGAGGACAAGGAACCCGCCTGGGAGTGAGCTACCCCAAGGGCATGTACAACGTGGGACTGCCCAGTGGCAAAACCTTGTATCAGATCCAAGCAGAAAGAATCCGAAAAGTGGAGCAACTCGCTGGCCAGAGGCACCGCTGCCAGTGCACCGTGCCCTGGTAGGTGGGCTGAACCACGGACCCGCTGTAAGGGGGTCTTTGCTTTGCAGTCTTGCCTGCCTTGTCTTCTAGAAGTGCCTTGACAGGTGTCATGCAGACATGCCAGGGGATTTTGGCAGCATGCGTGATCCCAGCAGCTAGAAGAGGAGCTCGGGGTGGGCAGTGAACACCAACAGTGCCTGCAGCGAGCGCTGCCCTGCAGTCACTGACCACTGTGCTGTGTCTGTTTCAAGCACAGACCTTACAGTGCAGGAAACAGCACTTTTCAGTGCCTGTTTCGGATCGCTCGTGAGAGATTTGTACGTTTGTGCTGTGCTTTCTCAGGTTCCTCTCTGGAGAGAGAAATCACACCATACTGAGAAGCTCTGCGTGTGTCTTCAGGCAGAGCATAAAGCTCTTCCCGTCCTCAATAGTAAATCCTTGCCGTGCTCCATTTTTAGGCTGCCTCCTGCTGTTGTTGTTTGCAGCTGTCTGCCTCCTCTCCTGGATGCCCGTAGCTTTCAAAAGCCTCCAGGCTTCCACAGAGCTTAGCTCTGCAAGGTGCAGAACGTCAGTTCCCTCTGAGATTGGGTGGGTGAGAGAAGAGAAAGGCACTGCTGCCTGGCTCTGGAAATGTTTTCTGCTGGGTGCTCACCCTTAGCTTATAGAGATACCATTACAAAGTCCCTGTCTGGTCTGAGGCAGGGTGTGGGAAGAATGAAGGAGCCTGTATGTCTCAGGTCTTCAGGATGACACATGGTTTTACAAGTAAGAATCTGAAGGTGATTCAACTCCAGATTGTATGTTTCTTTCTAAAGCTACATATACATGACCCAAATTGCAAATGTATCCATGCCTGGTGCTGTTGGAAGCCATCAGCAACATCTGCTGATAATGTTTACAGTTTACCTCCCTTGGGTTGAAGAGACAGCTGGCTGCTGCAATACCCTGGAGGACAGTATCTACTGTGCTGCAGAAATGTAAACCAGTGTGTATGAGGCCCTCCTGTGCAGACTATGGATATTCTGTTGTGCTAGCAGAGGACCACATACACCTGTACTGAGCTGTTGAAGGGCTTGGCAGCTATGTGATGCTCTCTGCTCTGCACTGGTGTAGCCTCTCCTGGAGCACTGTGTGCAGGGTTGAGTGCCACAGCATAAAGGCATAAAACTACTGGAGGGCTACAGAGGTGGGAGAGGGTCTGGAAGGGAAGGAGTATGAGGAGCAGCTGATGTCCTTGGTTTTGATTTGAAACTGAAGTGAATGAACCTTTCGTGCCATTCTGCGCACTGTTTTGGAGCTGACTTGCAGATGTTATGCACATTTAGGGAAGCGCTTTTCTGTCCTGGGTGGAGCTGAGCCCCTGGGTAGGATTGCTCTTGAGTCCTTGCACAGCCTTCCTGCAGGATGGGTTGTGGAGAAACGGCACGTAGTTGAGCAGCAGATCTCAAGATACCCCGCTGTCTCTCATTTAACATCCTGAGGTTTTCTCCCTTCCATGTCCCACCTGTAGTTTTTTCTTTTTCTTGTTCCTTGCTCTGCACCTGCTCCTACCAGGTACATCATGACAAGTGAGTTCACACTGAGGCCAACAGAGGAGTTCTTTGTAAAACACAGATACTTCAACCTGGATAAATCCAATGTAATCATGTTTGAACAGAGGATGCTGCCAGCTGTCACCTTTGATGGGAAGGCCATCTTGGAGGAGAAGGGGAAAATTGCTATGGCTCCAGGTACCTTGCTGTTAGCCCTTATTTGGTGCAGTAGCCTGTGCTGAAAATCATTGTTAGCCATCCTTGGCACACAGGAGCAGCCTTGGGAGGTCAGTGTCAATGCCTCTAGTTAGCATGGGAGAGTTCTGTTAGATGTTTTGGGATGGTAATCAGGAGTGTAGCAACCTCTGTTTAGTTCTTGCTGGAGTCTTGTCCACATTGCATGGCTTTAAATCAAAGTTTGGGAATATTGGCAGGATTAGGAAGAGTGTGATTGCTGTGGTGTTGGACCAGCCTGCGTGAGCAGGGCTGTGTGTATACTCAAGGGAAGAGGCCCCAGGATGCAGTCCCTGGGGTGCTGCCTTGCAGGATGAAGCTGTCAGTAGAGCAGCTCCATTCCCCCCCAGCTCGGAGCTTCTGGCTGCTCAGAAGTGATGCTGTCAGGTTATGGAGAAAACCCACCTGGCTGAAGGCTCCTTTTCAGGGCTGATAGTGAGAAATGGGGGAAAAAACAGCAGGCAGCAAGAAGACAAACTCCTTCCAAAATTATTGAAATGTTTCATGTTGAAAAGTTCTCCTTTTCTCTGGACCTGGACATGGCAAGAGGTGCGGGGATGGGGAGGGCAGTCCTTCTGGGGCTGTGTTGCAGTATTGCGACTTCTGTGGCTGCAGAATGGTTCTTCAGAGCAGATAGGAGTGCTAACGGGGTGGCCATGAAAGGATGATCTGTGATGAACAAATGTGCAAATGGAGTTGGGGGGGGCGGTGGGAGGGTGAAATACATAGAGGATAAAAGACTGACTTTAGTCTTTCTTTCTCCAGCCTGTTTTAAATGTGCTTTTGCACTGCACTGGAAGAGAAGAAATGTCACAGCCCACTACATAGTGTTTTGAGCTTCAGTGTTTTTCCTCTGAGGGTCTCACAGCACTTTCAACTTTCGTAATGCTTCCCTGTGAGGCTGATACCAATAGCCCTGCTTTGCAGATGTGGAACTGGGCTGTGGAGGGAGACAGCCTTGTCTGAACTGAGCCTGCATCAGAGCTGGGAGTGAAACCCCTTGGCACTGACTCTTGGCTAGAAAACATTTCCTGCTCTGCTATTCAGGAAAATTTCTTTAGGGCTTTTAGCCTTTGCTCTATTAGTCATGAAATAAACTTTGCAAAGTCACTAATTAACCAGGGCCTCCTCTTTTCTCCTGTGTTATAGATGGCAATGGTGGCTTGTATCGTGCTTTGGTGGATAATAAGATCTTGGATGACATGAAGCAGCGTGGTATCCAGTACGTCCATGTGTACTGTGTAGACAACATTCTTGTCAAAATGGCAGATCCAGTCTTCATAGGCTTCTGTGTTTCCAGAGGAGCAGATTGTGGTGCCAAGGTGAGGTGGTGCTCATGCTGGGCTGATTGCCTGCAGAGTTAAGACCGTGGGGGGTGAGCAGAGTTAAGATCTCAGGGTGAGCTTGGGTGTGCTCAGATCTCTGCCCAGTGGTGGCTTGCTCAGGGCAGACTTAGACGTGGCAGTCTGAAATGCCTGTTTGAACTCACAGTCCCCTTCCTGGGGGCGTTCTTGTAGCACTCCCTTCCCTCTTCCCAGAGTAGAATGGAAAACAGGCTTGGTAACATAGAATCACAGTCACTAAGGTTGGAAAAGATCTCCAAGATCATCCAGTCCAACCGTCCACCTCCCACCCCCATCCGTTTCCCCACTAAACCACGTCCCTTAGTACAACATCCAAATGTTTCTTGAACACCTCCAGGGGCGGTGACTCCTTCACCACCCTGGGCAGCCTGTTCCAATACCTGAACACTCTTTTGGAGAGGAAATGTTTCCCAGTATTCAGCCTGAACCTCTCCTGGTGCAACTGGAGTCCATTTCCTCTCGTCCTGTTGTTACCTGGGAGCAGAGGCTGACCCCACCTCACACAGCCTCCTCTCAGCAGCTGCAGAGCACTGCCATCTTCCCTGAGCTCCCCTTCCCCACGCTGACCCATCCCAGCTCCCTCAGCCGCTCCCCATCACACCTGTGCTCCAGACCCCTCACAGCTCCATCCCATCTCTGGACACGCTGCAGGGCCTCCGTGTCTGCACTGCAGTGAGGGCCCAGCACCGAGCACAGCACTGAGCTGTGGCCCCACCAGTGCCGTACAGAGGGACGATGCCCTCCTGCTCCTGCTGGCTGCACTGCTGCTGACACAAGGCAGGCTGCCGTGGGCCTTCTTGGCCACCTGGGCACACTGCTGGCTCGTTCAGCATTGACCCCTTGTGCATTTCTTCCACTCGGTCTTCCAGTCACTCTCCCTCGAGTTTGCAGCACTGTATGGGGTTGCTGGGGCCAAAGTGCAGGACCTGGAACTTGGTCTTGTTGAACTTCATTCCATTGGCCTTAGCCCAGTCTGTTCAGATCCCTCCTTAGGAGGGTGGTGTCATCTGCACATTTACTGAGGGCAATCAATCCCCTCATCCAGGTCATAACAGAAAAATTAAACTTCTATTAAAGCAGGGACTGTAATTGCACAGGAACCCTACAAACTGAAATTGCTTCCCTTTTGTGTGTTCCTGAGGTATCTGGAAGCCTTATTGGACTGGGTTGTGTTTTGTAAACACAACTTTAATTCTAATCAAGGCACTGCTTATATCCCACTGTGATAGATGGCAAAAGCCAGAAGAGTTTGGTTTTGTGACTCAGAATCAGCAGGTCTCCTGATGTTCAAGACAGGTTTCTGTTGCTTTAATCAACACTGTTCATGTAACTCCCTTTAGCAGGGAGCTAAAGGCTGATAGATTTAACATTCTTCATTTAATCCCAAGTCCCAGTTAAAAGACCTTGATAGGAAAAGTGCCTCACAGTGTGCTGCTCCAACCAGCTGACTGGAGGTGGCTTTCTTTTAACTGCAGACTGTCTTCTGAGCAGTTGTGCCATGGAGTGGTCACGTACTGCTTTTCGTACCAGGTTGTTGGGAAGAATACATCTCCAGGCTACTCGGTGTACTCAGTATTATCTTACTTGTGTTTGTGAGGCACCGTGTGTACAGCCAAGTACTGCAGGTCAGTTTGTGCTTGGCAGCTGGAATGTTGCTGGCGGTTTCTTCCTCCTTGTGATGAGCCTCTGTCCTGTGGCTGCAGGTGGTGGAGAAGGCCTACCCCACAGAGCCTATAGGGGTGGTGTGCCGCGTGGATGGGGTCTCTCATGTGGTGGTGGAGTACAGCGAGATCAGCCCGGAGACCGCGCAGCAGCAAAGGCCTGATGGGGGGCTGATGTACAGAGTTGGCAATATCTGCAACCATTTCTTCACTGTTGACTTTCTGCAGACAGTGGCCCAGTAAGTTCCAGCAGAACTGCCAGGCAGCTGTGCATGGCGGATGTTCCCGTTTCCCATGTCGTAGTTACGGATGTTTCCTACTCTGCTCTTCACCTCCTTCCTCCTCCAGACAGTCCCACACAGCTGTGTCTGCTGTTGGTCACCCCAGCATGGTCTTTATGCCTTATCCAGTGGAGGGTTTGCGTGCTTTGCTGAAGCTAAATCACCTGGGATAAACCAGTGCTTTGACCTTCCTGGGCTTGCAGGGGGGAGCAGCCACATGGGCTGCATCACTGAGCACAGCTTTGAGGACTTTCAGTAGGAATGTCAGCTGTGCTGTGTCCCTTTGCACAGTTGGGTGGGGGGGTGGCTGGCAGAGGACTGCACCTTGGAGCTGGGAAACAGGAATGTGATAGCCGGTTCAGTGAGCAGCTTTCTTCTGTTAGTTATGGCTCTGACCATGGGCTGGAGGTACTGTGTTCTTATGGGGGTTGTTGCTGTGGGAGGATATGAAACTGATGTAGTCTAAAGGTGTGGGGACAGTTAAGGGAGACCTAATTTCATTTCTGTCAATCCTGAGGCAGGCAGAATCACAGAATCACAGAATTGCAGGGATTGGAAGGGACCTCCAGAGATCATGGAGTCCAACCCCCTGCCAAAGCAGGTTCCCTACAGCAGGTCGCACAGGTCGGCATCCAGGCAGGTCTTGAACATCTCCAGAGAAGGAGACTCCAGAATTCCAGAAGAGCTTGATCCCTTTGTGTGAAGGATCTGCCCTGCTCCATTTTCGTTCTAGTCAAATAACAGTTGGGTTACCTTTTTTCCCTCTGCCTGTGATTGCAGCTGTGCACTCCGTCACCTTTTGCTTTACCCTATGATGTCATGCTGTCATTAGCAGTGGAGTGCCTTGGCTGCCTGCCGTGCAGCTGTCTGGGCTACTTTGCTCAGTGAAGTGTTTCCTGGATGTGACTTCAAGTCAGCATCCACAATAGTTGAGATAAGACCTGGAGTGGTAATAAGCCATCAGCTTCCCAGAGATGTACTTCTCTTTTTTATTGGGCACGAAGCAAATTAACTTGTTTGTCCTCTTTTTTGCAGAAAACACGAGTCCCAGCTGAAGCACCACGTGGCCATAAAGAAGGTGCCTTACATTGACGAGGAGGGAAATCTGGTAAAACCGCTAAAACCGAATGGAATAAAGCTGGAGAAGTTTGTGTTTGATGTGTTCCAGTTCTCTAAGTTAGTGGCAGAAGTGATCTTTTTTTCCCCTTTTCATTTTCTGTTTGAATGACTGTAAGCTGTAGAAGATCTTGACAGATTGTGTGTAGTTTGTGTTAGAGAGCCTGTTGGATCTGCCAGGCTTCAGCATGGCAGTAACTGCAGGCCCTGACAGTGCATTCACTGAGCCCTTGTGTGCAGTTCTTTGGGAATCATTCATTCTGCTGAGGATGGTTTGTTTGGCTCTCCTTCTGCTGGCCCTAGGAGAGGAAGAAGGCAGGAAACAGAGCATAGCCAGCATTTAATACAAGGGCATGTTGGAATGTTCAGGTTCTCAGAAATGGGACCTTTCATAATCGTGGTTTCCACGACAACTGCAGCTTTTGTTGGGTTTTAGGTGCATGAGAAGCTGGGGCCGATTCACACCTTTGTGTTCAGAGAGCAGGTCGCTCGAGCCCCTGGGGATAAGATCTGTTGCTGTAGGAACTGGAAAAGCTGCCTTGCCAATCTCAGACACAGCACAGCAGTGCTGTAGGTCTAACAGTACTTTGTGTGCAGTGAATGGGGACTTCTAATAATTTAGGAATTTACTGTAAGTTTGTGAATCCTCTTTTCCAAAGCCCAGAATTCAGCAACAAAGATTCTGTTCTAGGTTGAAATTAACAACGAGAGCAAAAAAGAGACCTTAGGCAAACTGAAGTATCTTGTTTGGAGATAGTGTTTTTGTTTTAAGAGGATTTACTGTAGGTGAAGGAGATAAGGTTTGAACCCTGGTCTCCATTTCCTGGCATGCAATCTGTAAGGAAACATACTTAAAAGCAAAGTCAGTGTGGTGGAAATAATGCAGAGCTATGGATTTTGAAACAACTGCAAGCAGTTACTTCATGTTTTTTTCATGTTACTTCACGTACTTTGTTGATAATACGGAAAAAAATGGCAGGTGCTCTTCGTGTGCGAAGTACAGAAACACGAAGGTGCTGCTGTGGTTTTATTTGCATTCCCTTTTCTGGTAAACTTCTGTACATGCATCTGACTGTGTGTGCTCCCGTTCTGCTTACTCACACCTGGAAACTGCTGTCCTGAGTCACTGCTTCCCCCAGGCTGCCACGCAGAGTGACTTTCTTTAAGGCAGGGGTGCAGGGCTCTGCTGTGAGCAGCACAGCACTGCCGTGTATCTAAGCGTCAGGCATCGCACCTCCTTCTGTTTTTCTGTCATACAGCCCTGGTTCTTATTTGCTCCTCAGATGGGAGATGGACTTTCCTTAGCTTGACTGTGCCCCAGGCTGTGTACATCACTGCCTGTTAAAATATGTGTGAGCACTTCCCCATGAAAGCTGGTTTTGCATCTTTTCTGAGAACAAAGCTGATAGCTAGCTTTGTTTTTCATTATTCTTGTTTTCTCTCCTTTGCTGATAGGAATTTTGTGGCATTTGAAGTTTTGAGAGAAGAGGAGTTCTCACCGTTAAAAAATGCAGACACAGCTGAGAAAGACAACCCTACCACTGCTCGGCAGGCCCTCCTGGCCCAGCACTACCGCTGGGCTCTCAAGGCTGGGGCCAGGTTTGTGGATGCAGATGGCTGCAGGATACCAGAGGAGCTCAGGTGTGAACCTCAGTGATGTTCTCTGCAGCTTCTTTGCCTGTGGCTTCCCGAGCCTGACGGCTGGCTGATGGACGCACACTGTGCTACACAGTTCAGAGCATTTGAGCACTGGTATGAGCTCTGTTCAGCTGGCCTTCTCCAAACATCCTCATACAGCTACTGCTCCATTAGTACTGCGAGTACTTTAATGCACAGTACCCTTTGCTTTAGCTCTGGCAGGGATTCCTGCCTTGGGGGGTCACAAGTCAACTCCTCCTATAGCAACTTGAACACAGTCAGACAACTGCCTTAGATAGAAACAGACTTTTCTATCACTCAGGATGTAACCAGCCCAAGGAACTGCAATTTGTGGTCATCCCTGCCTCTTCTGATTGCGGTCCCAGTTTTTAAAGCCCAGCAGAGTCTCAGATGGATATTACAGCAATTACCAATTCATACACTTCCTGCTTTTACTACATGGGACAATTACTTCATCAAATGACAGCTTAATAAGCCCAGAAGCTGTTCATTTTATTTGAAAAGTACCTTTTAAAAAGCCATGTAATTGTTTTGATGAGAACCTGCTAATTCCCTTTCATTTTCATAGTTTATATTCAAATGATACCTGATGCATGTGAATATAACAAATGGATGTCTTACCCTTGACAAACCTTCGAAGACAACAGACTGTTTTGTAAGCAGAGCAAGAAGTTAACCCGGTGTTCTCATGTTCAGTCTTTCAGGCACCGAAAATCCTCCGGCTGTGTGTGAGATTTCTCCATTAGTGTCTTACTTTGGAGAGGTGAGAACAATTATCTATGGAAGTAAAATTTTTAAGAGCATGCATGATTTCTTTACAGAAGAGAGATTTCATTAGCCTGTGCTTGCTCAGAAATGGTAAGGCAAAGGGAGCTAGGACTTGTGTTATATTTGTGGTTCCATTGTGGCTTATTCTTGAGCAGTTTGTTCAGTCTTCACATACCTTGGTTTTAGCAATTTCTAAAATGAGAGATGTAATGAGGTGGTGAAGTTTCGTTAGGACTCATCAGTACTTTGAGATCCACTGGATGAAAACCTTCTTTGCTAAGTTCCTGTCTGCAGGGAGCTGGCTCACCACACTTGGTGCCTTATAAGAATAAAACAGAGGTGAGTCAATGTGATTTTCGTTGCTAGGATCGTTCCAGTATGAGTTCAGAACACCCTGCCCCTCGCCTCTCCCTTCTCAGCAGGGCTCGTTCCTGAGCTCCACTGTTCTACAGTTCATCCTCTCCTTCACAAACTCTGGTTGTATGGCTGAAGTGCTTTCTACTCTCCCTGGGGAGCAGTTCTGTTGTCTGTCCTTTGTGCAGCCTTTAACTTTGGGAGTCAGTCGTTCTTTGTAAATGTTATAGAGACTTTGAAACAGTACACGTGGCCAATATGGTGTGTTATAACCTAACCTGATGATTTTCATGTGTTCTCAGGGTCTGGAGGTGTACATGAAGAACAAAGACTTCTGTTCTCCCTTTATACTCGATGAAGACAAAGCAGAAATGCTAGGAAGTTCTTGAAGAGGAGGGAGGTCTTCTCCCCTCAAATCAGATGCTTGTCTGTCAGAGCAATTATAAGAACTGACCCTACTAAAATGAAGTGCCTTATGAAAACTTGCTTTGCAGTATTAGGTTGATGCCAAATCTTTGCAACAGTTGTATCATCTGTGCCCACTCAGCAGATCCGTTTGGTGACTTTGAAGTCTGAGCCTTTTACCTTGATCTGTTTTGTCAACAGTGATATGAATGACAATTAATACTTTCCAGGTACCAGACAGATTTTATATTTCCTTTCTCTAGTGCATACAGATTTATAACAGAGCCAGCTGGAATCTAATCAGTCAGCTTTGCATTCACGCAGATTAGATCTCTGCAGTGCCCACCTTTGTACCTTGTTTGCGCTGTTGTTATTTTTTGTGTATGTTTGCTTGTTTGCTTTAAGCTCTGCTGGTCAGGAGATGCATTTCAGCATTCACATCCTACAGTCAGTGTGTATGGAGGAATGTGCTGCACTTGGGGCCTTGTGTGTTAAAGTTTTGCTTGAGATGTGGACCCTGCAGCAGTGAGACTGGCTTGCATATGTAGGCTCTGTGGTGGCACTCCAAGAAAACTAAGTAAATACGCAGCTCAGAGTGATTGCTTTTTACAGCTGCAGTGACCTGCAGGTGGGGAAGAGGACAAAGAAGAAGGCTGAGAACTCTTCACAACAGCCTTCTCTTCCTTTCTTACAACAATCACTTATTTTGCTTTCCATTTTTCCATTTGTACATATACCATCCCTCAGGGAGGCGCTCCTGTGAAGTGCCTGAAGGTGACAGTGACAGGAGGAACAAGCTGTGAGGGAGAATTTGAGGCTTAATCCCAATGTAAGCAATGTAACAGTAAAATGCCTCAGCTTCTGCAGTTTCCAGTGGAGCGCTTCTCCAGCACTTTTTCAGTTAAGGAAATAACTCTTTAGATGCCTTGCTCTTATCCTAGGTTACAGACTATGATATATCAACTAACGAAGGAAGGTAATTTGCAGAATTTCAGTAGCACAGCAGCCCAGCCTTGGCGGAGGGGTCACAGGGTGGCCGTGCCTCACAGCTCCTGCTCTGCAACAGCAGATCCTACACACCAAAGTCATTTCACACCTCAGGAGGACGCTTCATGTGCGTTGCTGAGCGGGGTTGGGTTGACGAGCACACACTGCATTTCCCCCAGTCAGCTGTAAGGAAGGTGTTGAATCATAGAATCACAGAATGGCCTGGGTTGCAAAGGAGCACAGTGCTCATCCAGCACAACCCCCTGCTGTGTGCAGGTCACCAACCAGCAGCCCAGGCTGCCCAGAGCCACATCCAGCCTGGCCTTGGATGCCTGCAGGGATGGGGCATCCACAGCCTCCTTGGGCAACCTGTGCCAGTGCCTCACCACCCTCTGGCTCAAAAACTTCCTCCTCATATCCAACCTCAACCTCCCCTGTCTCAGTTTAAAACCATTCCCCTTGTCCTATCACCATCCACCCTCACAAACAGCCATTCCCCCTCCTGTCTATACACTCCCTTCAAGTACTGGAAGGGGAGAAGATGTTTCGGATGAGGCATTTCATGTCTCTGCTTCTACTATGGAATTGTCAATGCTGATATTAAGCATTGATCTTTTATATAATTGAATTTCTGAAATTCTTCCTATGAAGCTGTATTCAGAATGTTGGAGGAAATAAAAATAGCTTTGAGAATAATTATCATGTGTAAGTAGGCTCGTGTTTTACAGAGAAACCGCCTAAATGCTGACGGCAGAATTTACAGATACGAAGTGTATCTGCATACACATGAGTAATTAACCTGCTATATGTGCAGACCAGCTAATTACAGTTCTGGTTACCTCTCGCTGCGTGTGCAACCAGTATTTTTAGTAGAATTTTTAGTAGAAATTGAGCATTTGTCTTTGACGCTCAGTTCTGTATTTTTTATTGTGCATTTTTATGGGTCATTTCTATTCTTGTCTGTTGAGTTTTGCATCCAAGACTGATTGCATTACATCTTTGAGAGCATTGCTCATCAGTTCAGGCCCGGGTTGTTTTAAATTGCACTGTGCTATAAAGAAAGATGATTCTTCTATGCTTTCTAGAATGCTTTTTGAAACTGAACCGCAGTTCATTTTGTGGATGCTTTAATCGTGTGAACACTGAACTGCATGTTTTTAGAGATTGTCTTTGAGGAGAAGAGGAATTAGGATGCTGAATGCCTCGTGTGTTTTGTTTTCCAGAAATTTTTGGACCATGAAGCATTTTGATAATAAAGATGTTACTGTGATTTCTATGTGTCCGTCTGCCTTGTTTGTGAGGAAATGCAGGTGGTTTTGTTCCTGTGCACCACCGTGCTGTCACACAGCTGGGGGACACTGACATGGCACCACTGCTGGCACAGCTGGAGGCTGCAGTGGCCATGGCTGATGTGCAGGGTGACATGGAACTCAGCAAATACCCGAAGCAGTTGGACACTGCTGTGTTTTTCCATCAGACAGCTCACAGAGCACTATTCTCCCCCAGAGTAGTTTTTCCACAGTGACAGGCTGTCCTCTCTATTGGGGGCTCAGTGCTGAACCCAGCAAAGACCCAAAGCAGACGTTCTTTCTGCTTTACCTATTTCATTCCACATTTTTCTCTTGTCACCCATATGAAGGTTGCTGCTGCTGGAGTTTTTAAATGCTTTTTTAAACTATGTGAATTGGTAGTTTGCTGTGGTAGGAAAATGAATACTGAAATGTGAATGCGTGTGTCAGGGTTCTGCTGTTTCTCTGCTTGTTTGTGTGGTGTTGATACTTACCAGAACAATTTGTTGGGAGCTGTGATTTTCTTTTTTAAATCACGAGATGTTAACTTAGCTCTCAGTTTTATCTTAGGGACTCTACTTGAAGGAGAGTCCAAATTTAAAGTTCCAAATGATGTCCTTAACTGAATATCTAGGCACACCGGGAGGTGAATTCTAGGCCAGCACTTACAGCAGTATCCATGCCTGCTTCCACACTCTTTCTCCCTGTTGAACTGTGAACTTGATGTGAACATAACCTGGTTCCCAAATGTAGGAGGTGGCAGTGGGTAATACAGAAACACAGGCAATGTGGCTCTAAATGTGTACAATGTTAAATGGTGCTGCCCCTCCTCCTCCTTCAGGAAGATGCTCTTTGCAAAGGGCATGTGAGAAAGGGCAGAGGGCTGTGAAGGAGCAGGTAGGGAAGGGATTGTATGGATCCTGCTGTGTACCAAACTATTCTGAAAATCCCTTCAGTCAACTCTGCCCTCTCAGAGTCTCATTCATGCCTTTTCACACCCCTGAGCTCTTAAGACAGAGTTCCTGTGATGTCTGCCCTGGACCGGGGTGGGGGGATGAGTGATGCAGGCTGTTAGGATGCATGTTTTAGACTGCTCTGTCCTCTGGGATTCAGAGGAACTTTGGGTCTCCTGTGCCATGCTCAGCTTCCAGGTGGGCTGGAGCAGAGGGTGTGTGCAATGCACCGCAGCCCTGGTACCATCCTCCCACCAGGACACTTCCTGACAAGACATGGTGACTTCTGCACCCTTTGCACCCACATCCCCACCAGAGCAGCCTACCAGGCAGGTGGGAAATGCACCTTCCCAGACGCATTCAGCCTTCTTCCAATTGCTCGGTCACTTTTCTTCTTGTGACTGGTCTGTCCTGTGATCCCACAACACAGCAGAACAGGAGGGCTCTCAACATCTCCTTGTATCTCATTTCCTGTTCAAGATGCCGAAGTCCTGCTTGGACAAGGTCAGGCCATGTGGTGAGAGAGAGTATGTAGAAGGCAAGGGCTGGCAAGGAGAGGAAAGAAATCCTTACATCCCTGAAGCTCCTCTGACCTGAAAGTAGTGATCATATCAGGGTGACTGGGGGCATTACAGAAAATGGGGATGTGACAGTAGAAGTGGTCAGCAGAGAATTATATCATCGAGTGACTTGGGTTGGAACAGACCTTTAAAGTCCATCCAGTTCCAAGCCCCCCGCCATGGACAGAGATACCAACCACTAGATCAGTCTGCCAGGGGCTCCATTCACAGCATTGGGCACCTCCAGGGATGGGGCACCCACAGCTCTGGGCAGCTATGCCAGGGACTCACCACTCTCTGAGTAGAGAGTTTCACCCTAATATCTGACCTAAATTTCCTCTTTTAGTTTCAGGGGGGTTTCCAACTCCCCCTTGTCCAATTCCTATCAGACTGTGTAAAAAAATCTGTCTCCCTCCCCTTTATAAGCTACTTTTAAGCACCAGGAGGCCACAGTGAGATTTTCCTGGAGCCAGTTCTCCCTTTTCACTTATCAGAAAGGGTAGACTCTCCTTGCTCTGCCTTTTCTGACCAGCGTACCTGTAGATTCTCTTCCTGTTATTTTTCAAGTCCCTTGCCAAGTTCAGCTTCATCTGCACCTTCACTTTCCTGATCCCAACTCTGCACATCTGAATGGCATCTCTGTATTCTTCCCACCTATCCCTGTTTCCACTGCCTGTACACGTCCTTCCTTCCTCTTAGTTTGACCAGCAGGTCCTTTTTCAGCCTTGCTGCTTTCCTGCCTCTGCTTAATTTCTCATGCTGGGGGACACAATATCATAGAAAGGCTTGGACTGGAAGGAACTTAAAAGATTGTCTAATTCCAATCATCTGTCATGGGCAGGGTTGCCAACCTCTAGATCAAACACCAGCTCAGGCAGCCCAGGCCCATCCATGGCCATGAATCCAAGCAATTCCTTATCCACAGAATGGCCCAGACTTCAAATCCATTTCTCTCCAGTTTAGAAATAAGGATGTGGTGCAGGGCCATTGCAGGTCCATTGCAGAAACCTCGCAGATCTAGGAAGACGACATTAGTGGCTCTCCCTCTGTCCATCAGTACCGTCACTCCACTATAGAAGGCCACCAGATGGGTGTTGCACAGTGTGACCTCGATGATGCTGCACTGTCTCAGATCACCTGCTCATTCCTCGCATGCTCTTAACATGTTTTCTAGGAAGATCTGTAGCTCACCGTGCCCTTCTTTTTCACTTCCTTACAAATGGGGGTGGCATTTCCCTTTTTCCAGTCCCCAGGGACTTCTGCTTGACAGCCATGACATGTAATATGATGGAGAGTGGCTCGGCAATCATCTCCTTAAGGCCCGTGCATGCAGGCTCTACTCAGCCTCATGAACTCACACTGAGGGGGACTTTGCTCCCACCCAGAGGGCCATGGATGTGACGGACACAAGAAGCCTGGCTACCAGCGAAGACTGAGCTAAAAGAACATGCTGAGTACCTCAGCCTTCTGCACTTAACCTCCATTTCTTAACGTAAAGGAAGCTCCTCCGCCCCGCCCCGCCCCGCCTTTCTCTCAGACCCGCACCTCCCCCCAGCTCCCGCTCAGGCCCGGCCCGCCGTCGCTATGGCGCGTGCTGGGGGCGCCATAGAGCCACGGAAGTGCTGCGGGACTGGAGCGGCACCCGGAAGTGCTGCGGGGTGAGAGAGCGGCACGCGGAAGCAACCGCTGGGTCGTCGCTCGGTGCGGGGAGACTGCGCGGTAATGGCGGCGGGCGCGTGGGGCGGCGGGCGGCTGGGCGCGGGGCGGGCGGGCTGCGGCCTCTGAGGCTGCCGCCATGTACGCTGCCGCCGCCGTCGCCGCCTCGCCGCCCAGGCGGGACTTCATCTCCGTCACCCTCAGCTCGGACGAGGCGCCGGGCGTCGGCGGCTACAACAACAGCAAGGCCTGGAGGCGGCGCTCCTGCTGGCGGGTGAGGGCGGCGGGCCGCGGGCTGTGCGGGACGGGGCTGCCGTGCAGGGGTGAAGGGAGCGGCGTCCATCGCAGTTGGGATGTCACGGTGGGGAGCTGGAGGCGGCGGAGCAGGAGAAGCGTTCTGTGGGGTGCGTGGGGCGGAGCTGCGGGGCGGCATCGTCTGCATTGGGGCGTCCACGGCCTCTGGCCCTTATGGAGGGAGGGCTGTAGGAAGCGCTGTGAGGTGCGGGAGGTCCGTAGGAAGCTGCGGGATGTGGCTTTAATGCCGAAGCTCCCTGTTTGCCAAAGGCAGTAACTGGAAGCAGATTCCTGCTCTGATGCATTTTGCTTCTGTTCTTAGAAAAAGCAACAGAATGGTAGCTTAAGTTAATATTTAACTCCGACCTCTTTGTCTATGGATTGGAGTTCTTGGATCTGACTTCTCTGTTAGGTTGATGTGGGATTTGATGTCTGGCTTTCAGTGATTTGGTCTAAGTACTTCATTTTTTGTCCTGTTTTGGTTTTGTTCATTATCCTGTTGGCTCACCTTATTTTGTATGGGTTGGTGGCTTTTCTTCTGGTGACAAACCAATATGTATGACAGTTCTACAGATGTGTTTTTGAGATGCAGTGCGCCATACTTTTCCTGGGCAGCAGCTGATATGAAGCTTATTTAAAGCCTTTCTTCTTTGCTGCAGTAATATTTTTAGCTTTTCTGCCACGTTTTCTGTTTTCATTTTGCACATCAGTTCTTTAGTAGCGCTGGGCAGGAAGGGATGAGATTTGTGGCGTGTTTCCAAGTTGACATCTGGGCAGATGCTCAGCTCAGCTCAGGCAGGGCTGTGCTGGAAGGCAGCTTGCTGCAGATGCTGCTGCCTGGCAGTCTCAGCATGTGGCATTCGCCAGGGCTCTTGCAGCAAACAGCTCTCCTGTTTCACCACACTTGCTGTGTTGTAGGGCAACATGTTGTATTTCTGTTTTCTCTGTCATTGGAGGAAATAAGCAGTGAACTTCTCTGTTGGAAAAAGAGGGTAAAATTAAACTTAGTTTTGTGGTCCTTGCTCTGAATGGACAGACAGGAGTTTAGTTTTGGTGGAGTGGGTTCTTAACGTCGTGCTAAATTTTCTTCCTCTTATTTTTTCTCTGGAAGAAATGGAAGCAGCTGTCTCGACTGCAGCGGAGCATAATTCTCTTCCTGTTTGCCTTCTTGACGGTCTGTGGAGTCATTTCATACACAAGTGTGGGGGAACCGTGGAAAAGTACGTGTTCTGTATGGCTGTAAATTACTTGAACGTAGTGTTACACTGAAGAGATTTTGGTAGTGCTTCTGAACAGTGTTTATTGTGGTGACAGTGGCTGATTTTGTCCATTGCAGTACAGTTATGACGTGTTTCAATGGGTTTGCTGAATCAGAAGTATTTTTCACGCCTCTGTGTTGGCTTGACTGAAGAACATTTTGTTTTAGTTGATAAAGGTTTGGAGGCTGTGAATGTTCTTTCCATAACGTTTGTGTGTAGATATCAGTAACTCCAACCTGAGCAGCAGGATAAGATGGTTTTGATTGTCTATAAGATTTGAAGTTCCAAGGTTTTCTACAGTACAAAGGCACGTTTACCTTTGATTTAATCTTCTTGCCCGTATTGTGAAGCAAGGTTAATGGCAATTACAAGGCACGTGCCTTTCAGCAGCCTCCTTTGACTTCAGGAATTTGTTAATACCAAGTGCTACTTTGTATCTAAGAACTGTAGCATGTTTCATCCCTGTTTCATGAAAAAAAACTGTTTGGAGGAGCTCTCATGTGGAATGCAGGCTGTTAGAAATCCCTAGCGGAGCAGAAGTTGCTGATTGCCTTTGCTGAGCATTTTCATGTGTGTAGGTTTAACAAACAAACCATCGGATGAGCACGGAACAGAACCAGATGTTCCTGGATTAAAGCTGGCGAATCCAGCTGTGCTCCCAGCGCCCCAGAAAGCAGATGCCAACGCCGCAGACTACCCAGAGCTTTCACCTCAGGTATGAAGAGAAGAAATGGGATTTATAGACTGCCGAGGAGTTTGTGGGAGGTGCAGGTAGCGATACCTTCCAGTGGTGGTTGTGGAAAGAAATGTTACAGCTTTCGGTGAAGACCTGCTGTGGGCTCAGTGCTGTCGTCTCAGGAACGGCTCTTGGCACGGTCTTTGTGTCCTGGCTTTAACTTTTTGACCCGAGTGTTCATTTTACTTCTTCACCGTCAGTGACACACGTCAGAGCGATAGGACTGTGTGCCACATTGGCTTCTTACTGGAGGCTTCACCTACGTGCTGTAATGAATTTGTTTGCACCTGGAATGCTCTGGATGTCAGTGTCACAGCTGTGAGGTGCCTGAGCGGCGTAGTGGCTGGCTGTGACACGCAGGGTGCAGTTGGTGTCACACTGAATTAGCACAGCTTCTGTGGTAGCTGGAAAAATAGCAAACAGAACGGGTGTTCAGTGGGTTGTGAAGGGTTACATTTGTGTGCAGTGTGATGAGAAAGAAACAATTGGCTGTTTGGATTAGCAGAGCAGAGGACTGCTGGGTGCTGCACATATGCTTGTGTGGCTCGTCGTCTATTTTCCTCATGAACTGTTAAATGAAGAAAGAAATCAGAGCTAGCATCACCACCAACACAAACATGCTGCAGCATCAAGGCAGATTTTGCATGCTGGTATTATATCAGGATGGATGCTTTTGGCTTATGGTTTGAATTTTACCGTTTGTGTGAAGTACTGAGCACATTTTTTTCTTCTTTTCTTTTTCTCAGAAGAAACCAAAATTACCCCATGGTCGGCGTAATCCTTCCCATTTTCAGATCAAGCCCCCATGGGGGGATGTGAGGCTGCAAACCCGCCATGACACCAGCAAGGCAGTAGAAGAGCCAGTCCAGGCTGATAAACAGGAGAAAACAGAGAAGTCTGTTATCAGGTAGGAGGGTTTCCAGCAAGTCACAACTTTCTTTTTTCATTTTCATTTTCTTTTTTTTTTTCTTTTTCTTTTTTAAGATTGTTATTATTTTATTTTTTTTATTCCCCCACTCCCCATTGGTATCCATCAGCTGTTGGAGTGAAAACTGTGTTTTGTTGTCTGTCTGAAGTTGATTTTTTTCTGTGTACTTGTTCTTCAGTTCGGTGTGACAGCTTTTGCTATTGGTAGTTTCATTTATTGAATTAGGGGGAACGTGCAGGCCTTCTTTTTTTATTCTTTGCACTGTAGAACTGCAGAGCATTGGAGCCCTACTAGATGGTCTGCATTTCTAATGCCTTCTGACACTGTTAATTCCCTGCAGAATTTTCAGCACGTGTGCATTTCTTCCATTTGTTTTGCACTTGATGGAACAGCATAAATACGATAACACAACCTCTCTGTTTCTGCAGACACATGGGGAGCTGTGCTGGTCAGAGTGTTGGTTAGGGATATCATGCCAGACAACGAAGTTAAGGCCAGGTGGACCTGGCAAAAGCTGTGGACGTGCGTGCAGCTGTTCACACAGAACTGTGTTGTACTGATAAAGGGTTATTCCCTAAGATACCACTGAAATCTTTTGGTTTGGGAATAATTGAAAAGATTTAAGTTGGACATAGAAAAGGCTGTCAGTAGTTGAGCAGATGTGCTTGATTAAAATTTGGGAACAGTAAGTTAGAGTACAGCTCCCAGCAGGGCCCATCCACAGCCTTGGGCACCTCCAGGGATGGGCATCCACAGCTCTGGGCAGCAGTGCTGGGGCCTCCCTGCCCATTGAGGAGAGGATTTCCTCATAACATCTCACCTAAATCTCCCTTGCTTTAATCTAATCATTCCATCTTGTCCTATCAGTGTTTGCCCGTGTCGTACAGTGAAATCAAAGTTAACGTATGTATGTACAAACCACAGTGGTTGAGGTGGTTTGATCTTGATGTGGACCTGGCTTGACTGGAAGTGTGTTCTGAAAGACTTTTCCTTCTGGAGATTCTTAATGGAAACCTCTTCCAGTTGACGTAGGCTTCTGTGTGTGCAAACGTGTGTAAGCCCTTGGTGTGGAAGTGACTGCTGTAAGTGGCCAGTCCCTTGTTTTATTCGTGAGCTTTATTCCTGGCTCTCATTTCTATGGCACTGATTGTCAGTGGCTGCTATGGTCATTTCAGAATTGGGTTGGTAACAAAATACTTTAATGCAGCAATCTCAAATGTCTTGCTGCTTTAAAGAAAAGTTCTTAAGTTTATTAAATTCTGTTGTTAAGATCTTAATGAAATTCCAGCAGCCTGTGTAAGACACTTCTCTTAATCCAGCACAATTTCTCTGGTGTAAATGACTTTTTCTTTTAGTGGAAAAGTTGTAGAGTGGACAACATGGTTGTTTTGACCCTTGATACAAAATCCAAAGTGTACTGAAAAATAATGAGTAAGTCTCATTCATTTGCATGACTTAATGTGAGCGAGTGAAGCACTGATGTCAGCCTCTTGCATCTGCAGCTGGAGAGGAGCAGTGATAGAACCTGACCAAAGCAGCGAACCTCCATCTAGTAGAGTAAAGGAACCAGAAAAACCTTCATCTGTGGAAGGTGAAAGCCAGAAAGAACCAGGTAAGTGGAGCACCCTTATTCCTGTTCACTTCTGCTGTTGAAATTATCCAGCTCCTCCTCTCACATCATTTTTGTTGTCATTTTTGTTTGTTTCTGTTTTTCCTTTATGGAAATAGAATTCTGCCAAAAGGACACAGGAATGAAAACTGTGGGAAAGATGATTTACCTGCGACGTTTACCAAACTTTTCAGTGTCCTCATTCCACCATGACACCTTTCCTGCTCATTAGTTTTCAGAATTTTGATTGAGTTTTGAGTCTCAGTGTTGATTTTGATTGAGTGTTGAGTCTCAGTTTTCAATGCTGAATAAGAATTATTCTGCTGCACATGTAAAACTTAGCTCACGGGTTTGGTGCTGTGGCAGGAAACAGATTGCTGTGGCTACAGTGGACAGACTGTGTGTGAGCAGCCTGCAGAGCTGTGTATGTGCAATTGCTTGCAGTTCACTGCTACCTCTGCCTTGCAAACAGCCCGTCTGCTTCTGGACATCCTGTCTTTTAGGTGCATAGCATGTTCTCCTGCATACATTATCAGGACAGTAACTACAGGGGGGCTTATTTACTTATATCCAAAGGTAGGTGCTTTTGCCCCCAAACTGTGCACTTCTGCTGTGCAGCTGTTTCCTCTGAAAGTCTGAAGCAAGGCTCTGGTAAGGGAGAGAGGCTTCTGCTTTGGGACCTCTGTGTTTCCTTGCCTTGAGATGATCCTGATGCACTGGGAGCACAGTGGAGATGTCTCTGCTTTCATTCCTGAACTTCTGAATTTTGGGTGCTTCTCTCTCCCATCAATTTCATCTCAACGCATACAAGAGAAAGCAGAACAATGTACCAAAATACTTGAACTACATGTTTTCCTGCTTTGTTTGGACACACACTATATTCTGATTTTCTTTCCTAGCTTTTTTGCTTTTCTTAAACAGTTGCAGTAGTATTGAAAACAAATTTTAGTGCCAAACCTTTCCTGTGGGAGGAGCCAGGAAAGATGATCCAAAGAGAGAGAGCTCAAAGGGGACACCCTCCTTTCTTCAGCAGTGTTTCCTTTTGTTCTGCAAATTCAGGGAAAGTGATTTCCTCCCTCAGTGAGGTTGAACTATTTTTAAGGCTCGCCAGGAAGCTGCAGAAGTTGTTTGTGTAGTTACTGTCCTCGTGAAGTCAAGAACCCGTTGTGCTGCTTTCTGAGTTCGTGTAAGGAAGTTCCTGTATGATAAATGTGGCGCAGCACAAAGTGATGTATTTGGTGTGGGCTGATGTGATCGTAATGGGGTTGGTTACACTGCTGGATGTTTCCCCCTCTAGAATCCTGTTTGTAACTTTTGGAAATTTCAGCTGGTGAGCTTGAGAATTTAGTTGTTCAGTATGGACTGTAAGTTCAATTTTGTGGTGAACTGCAAGATAAGACTCCAGCTGAACTGTGGAAAAAGATGTGGATTTGCCCAAAATAGGAGATATCAATTTTCTTTTTCCTGATTTTAAATGGAAAGCTCTAGAAAAGTGATTTTTTTTTTCTTTTCTTTTTTTTTGGAACTGACTTTAAAAAGTAGCAGAAATTAATGAATTAGGGAAAGTGAAGAAAAAGTGTGTGTGATAAATGACATGAGGACTCCACTGGTTGCCACACGTGTGCAGCAGCTGAATTACAGTTGATTTGAAGTCTTAATTTTGGTGTTTCCTGATTTTTCCCGTTTTTGAGGTTTAGCAATTCTCATCTCATGTTATGTTTTAACATGCATTTGGAGAAATGATGTCCCTGTGTATTCTCTGTGCCTACTTCCCTTGCTGACCACAGATACCAAGTAGTTATCCCACGTACAAAAGGTTGTGCTGAAAAGAATAAGCTGAGCATGTTTTCACAGTCACAGAATTGCAGGGGTTGGAAGGGACCTCCAGAGATCATGGAGTCCAACCCCCTGCCAAAGCAGTTCCTACACCAGGTCGCACAGGTTGGCGTCCAGGCAGGTCTTGAACATCTCCAGAGAAGGAGACTCCACCACCTCCATGGGCAGCCTGGTCCAGTGAACTTTTCTGACCCTACAGTTCACAGAGATTTATTTTATTTGGGTGTGATTTGGTGAAATGGTGTTTGACGTTGCTGCAGAACTCCTGAGCAAGATGTTCTCCTTTGCAGTGCCCATAAACGAACGCCAGAAGGCTGTGATAGAAGCATTCCGCCACGCGTGGAAGGGGTACAAAGATTTTGCCTGGGGCCATGATGAGCTGAAGCCCTTGTCCAAGTCTTACAGCGAGTGGTTTGGCCTTGGGCTCACCTTAATTGATGCCTTGGACACTATGTGGATTTTAGGCCTGAAAGAAGGTAATCTCTTGCTTCTCTGTTCTCACCCCTGAAACTCTTTGTTTTCTATTCAAGCCGTGTGTGGTTAGAGATCTTTGAGGGGGACGTTTATTACACGTGGCGATAGGAGTAGTTTTTCTGTCAATTTTATATATATAAAGTTCTAAACACACACAAACAATGTGCATTTATATATATATGTAACCCTACGGCCCTGTATGAACAGCCACCATTGCTCTTGGGTTAGTTTGTTTAAGCTAGAAAAGAGTATTCAACTATTGTGTATAATATGTGTGCTAGAAACTGAGGAATGGGTGGATAGGCCACTTTGTTTCTATACTGATTTATGTTGATGCTGTTGCACAGCCATCAGCCTTAGGTTGATGAGATCTCCTGAGATCTCCTAGCTTGTGTGTGATCATAGCTAGTATCAGTATTTTGTGTCAGGACTGAAGAAGTTTATGTAAGGATGGAGGTGGAGTAATCAGTACCCCCTTTCTGAACTGCTCTACTGTCTGCGTGTTTTTTTTCAGATATTCTGTAAGTATGGCTGCTTTAATAAGTGTTAGAAACAGATTTTAAATGACTAAGCCAAAAAAATCTGTAATTCTCTTGGAGAAAACATGCTTGATCAATATTTAAGTGTGGATGGGTTGTTATCTTGTTTTTTGTTTTGTTTTTAAGATGGTATTTGAAAATGTATGGAGCTGTAGCTATTGAATGATGGTAGATAGCCCTCTTTGTAAGCTTAGGTAAATCACAGCCATCTCAGTGTCATGGTGGGAAGAGCAGAGCTGCAAGTGAGGGCTCAACAGTGAAATTATACGTGCTTCTGTCTTTTCTTCCTTGGGAGTTTGTGCAAAAATACTGTATGAAACAGGAAGTCTGCATCATATCTGCTGCTGTGTCTTGAGCAGATTGTCTTGAAGTTTCATCAAGTTGTCAGCATGCTGCTTTTTCATGAAAAATTAATTGGGAATTGCATAGAGCTTTTAAATTATTAGCAATTTAAATGTGTTGAGAATGGGTTCTCATTGCAGATTGCTCTGTTTTACAGCAGTTCTTTTGCTGATTGCCTCAGAAAGCTCTCGAGGTTTCTTTTGAATAACAAATGCTATCTAAATGAATGTTCTGTGTGAGGTAGCTGATTCTTCTTACAGACTGATGGACGCTAATGCCTTTGTGACAGAGGACGCTGTGTTTCTGATTATTCTGCTGGGTAATAATGGACAGCACAGACTTTTGTGTGATGCTTCTCAAGTAGACTGAGAAGAACATCTACTGCAAATCCCAAACACGTCAGTGGTGAACACATAAAAATGCTGCATAAACAATCCTGGCTGCTCTGGTTGAAATCCTTTGCTGAATTTGGGTCAGCCCAGGCCTTATTCTAGAACACAGCACGTGGCTGTTTCACGTTTTTTTTTCCTTTCTCCTACTTCCCAAGGACACATAGGCATCCTTTTGCTTAATGGTCTGTGGAACACCTTCCATTTCTGGGGAACAGGTTGTTCTGTGACTCACGAGCCAGAGTTTGTGAGGCACACGATTTAAGATAGCTCAGCCTTTGGGTTAGAGATGTAAGCCAGCTCACACGGACCGCAGAGTCAAACCCGTGCAAAAGCAATCATCAGGTGGTACGGCCAAAAAGCTGACGGTCAAATACAAAACATCCCTTTTTTTTTAAATACCTTTCTGAATTAATAGTGTACTAAACTACCACTTTTGTTTCTGTGGAAAACACTGCAGACAATCTGAAATTCTGTGTGTGGGTTTTCTGAGTTAAATGCTGAGCTGGGAGGCAGGGCTGCCCAGGGTACTGTGAGGCCAGAGGCAGTAATGGCTGTTAATTGGAAATGTTATGGCTATCTTGATGGATGACAACATTGGTTTACAAAAATTCAATTTAACATTTTTTGAGGACTGTTGGTGGAAGTGTAACAAATTGTCTGACAAGCTGGACTTGAAAGGTCTCAATTTCAGGACTGTGTTGAGCTGGACAGGCTGAAGTAGTGGGCCCATGTGAAGCCATTGAGGGTCAGTAAGGCCAAGTGCAGGGTGCTGCATTGGGTCGGGGCAGTCCTGGGTATTGATACAGACTGGGGGAAGATTCCTTGAGTGCAGCCCTGCGGAGAAGGACTTGGGGTCCTGGTGGGTGAGAAGCTGGACGTGAGGCAGCAGTGAGCGCCTGCAGCCCGGAAGGCCAGCTGTGTTGTGGGCTGCATGAAAAAGGGGCGGCCAGCAGGAGAGGGAGGTGATCGTCGTCCTCTGCTCGGCTCCTGTGAGGCCCCATCTGCAGCGCTGCGTCCAGGCCTGGGGCTCCAGCACAGGAAGGACGTGGAGCTCTGGGAGCGGGTCCAGAGGAGGCACTGAGATGAGCAGAGGGCTGGAGCAGCTCTGTGTGAGGAAAGGCTGAGGGAACTGGGCCTGTTGAGCTTGGGGAAGAGAAGGCTGTGGGAGACCTCATGGTGGCCTTCCAGTACTTGGAGGGAGCGTAGAAACAGGAGGGGGAACGACTGTTTGTGAGGGTGGATGGTGATGGGACAAGGGGAATGGTTTGAAAGTGAGACAGGGGAGGTTTAGGTTGGATATTAGGAGGAAGTTTTTGAGCCAGAGGGTAGTGAGGCACTGGCACAGGTTGCCCAAGGAGCTCTGTGGATGCCCCATCCCTGCAGGCATTCAAGGCCAGGCTGGATATGGCTCTGGGCAGCCTGGGCTGCTGGTTGGTGACCTGCACACAGCAGGGGTTGGAACTGGATGAGCACTGTGCTCCTTTGCAACCCAGGCCATTCTAGGATTGATAAACTGTTCCTCAGTTTTCCCAATTTTTTTTCCCCTTAAATAATTATGATTTTTTATTTTTTTGGCTGATATTTCTCTGTGTATGTCTGTGGTGCGTGCTGAATAAGAGCTGAGCTTTTTGGGCCTGTATGGGAACTCCTGAATCACGGCCTTAACCACTGATTGATCACCTGAGTCAGCCTTGGGAGCACAGGTGAAGGCAATTTACCCCCGAGTGAAGGAAGATAGTGTTGGAATCACCATCCTTGGAGGTGTTGAAGAACTGTGGTGATGTGGCAGTGAGGGACGTGGTTAGAGAGTATTGGTGGGGATGGTTTTATAGTTGGATTGGATGATCTTAGTGTTCTTTTTCCAACCTTAGCAGTTCTGCAATTCGAAGGTGATGGTAATCAAACTTGGCCCAGCTCCTGCTCTTTTAGTTTTCCAACTAAATAATGATCCCTGTAGACAAATATATAACTGTCAAGTATCATATGCTACTGTCTCTAGTACAGTTGCTGGAACATGCTAGAGGTTCATAACTGTGCTATATTTTATACTTTGCAGAGTTTGAAGAAGCAAGAAAATGGGTAGCAAACGATTTAGCCTTTGATAAAAATGTGGATGTGAACCTGTTTGAGAGCACTATTCGTATCCTGGGAGGCTTGCTGAGCACCTACCATCTCTCTGGGGATAGCCTCTTCCTGGAAAAAGCTGTGAGTGATCAGTCCTGGGAAGTAAATTGGTCAGTATATCATAGTGGAAGAGGTTGGGGAAGGGTTCATCAGGAAGTTAAATGTTGCTGTTTTGCAGCTGTTCCATAATCAGAATGGTGGGGGAGGAATTTACCATTAATTTTTTAAACCTGTATTTGTTTGCTCTCTGGATCAACTTAGAGCTCTACTGTGTTGTATCAGGTGCTATTTTAGATAGGCCTTTCAGATTCTTCTGTTGATGAAGAGCTGACCATTGTAAGGAATTTTATGAAACAGAAGCTTAAATGGCTTTTCAGTGTCTTGAAAAGAGTATTTGGTAGATTTTGTCATCTTTTCACTGCATCTTGACAGCATCAGCCACCTCCTTAAATAAGACAGAGTCGATGATTTCAACATTAAGTCATGTTATATAGGGACTGTGGGCTTGGTTGAGGCATGCAGTGCAGGAAGGAGGTAGAAACTAGCTATTCTTCCAAATTAATCCGGGACCGCTTTTAATTCTTGTCTTTCTCTCACAATCTAGAGCTGGGCTGCTATTGCACTCATCTGATTGTTGAAAGCAAACCTGGCAGTTTGCACGTGTTGACGTTTGCTTTTCTTTTTTCTCCCGTGTCCTTCAGAAGGACATTGGGGACAGGCTGATGCCCGCCTTCAGGACTCCTTCCAGAATCCCGTACTCCGACGTCAACATTGGCCGTGGCACTGCTCACCCACCCCGATGGACGTCGGACAGCACTGTGGCAGAGGTGACCAGCATTCAGCTGGAGTTCAGAGAGCTGTCTCGCCTCACTGGGGATGAAAAGTACCAGGTATGGAAAAACTGGTTGGCGTTACCCCTTCTCTTCTTCTTTTCTTACTCTGTGGTTCTCTACGGCACCGCCAGCACCTGTAGTCTCCCTGATGTTAAATGAGTTGTGGAACTGTATGTGAAGAAAGGAGAATTCCAGTCATTCCAGTTATCTTCTGAAGTACCAGAAGGTAATGGTGGAGACGGTTGTTGTTCTTCCTTGGGAGCAGCTTTTTATTTAGAAAAAAGCCAGGACAGCCATCTCCTCACACCCGTCCCTTCACTCTTAGGATGGTATTTCTGCTTGACAGTACATCGTCAGCTCGGCAAGAAAATTCAGCGTGGGCTGTAATGCTGTGCATAACTTCCTGCTTTTAGAATTCTGCGTGTGGCTTCTTCATGCCATTATGTAAATTCTAAGGGAAAAAAATACTCTTATTACCCTTCACATAATTAAAATAGCTGTAAATTAGATTGTGTGTCATGGTGTAAGAAGAGTTTATTTAAAACAAAAATAATTTCATAGAAAAGAATAATTTTCATGGTTATTTTTTTGGTAATGTTATTCTGTTGTTTTTAAGGGGTATCTGGAGCTCATGCTTTGAGTAGTGCTGTTATTTCTTCAGGGGTAGCATGGGTCATGCACTTGTTTTAGTCAGATCGTAGCCTCACACTGAAGTACTGATTTTTGAGTGGGCTTTCTGCACTCAGGAATACACTTGAGCTTTGTATTTGAGAAGGAAAGAGTTTTAATTATTTCAGAGTACTTAGGCATACTGGGAACACAGGCTTTGATAGTCAGAAAGCTTGAAATGCTGTGTTTATTAAATCCCATGAGCTGAACTTGCGTGCAGAAGGATAACTAAAGATTTGTTACTGGCCAGAAGCTACTGGCCACAGTTTTTTGTGTCATTTATATGTGTGCAATTTATGTTTATGCTGTTCTTTCTTCTAGAAAGCTGTCGATGAGGTGATGAAGCATGTTCACACCCTTTCAGGGAAAAATGATGGACTGGTGCCTATGTTCATAAACACCAACAGTGGGCAGTTCACTCACTTAGGTGTTTATACTCTGGGAGCCAGAGCTGACAGCTACTACGAGTATTTGCTCAAGCAGTGGATTCAGGGTGGGAGAACAGAAAATGAGTAAGTTCTTTCTGCTTCTCACGCTGGTGTGAAAATGATACAAGTTGTAAACATTTCTGTTGTAGTTTTATGCTGGAAGAAATACAATGTGTATATGTAACAGCCAGCTTAAAGTAGCTCACTTGCAGAAATGGGTGTAGGATGACCTGTGGTAAGTTGAGATTAAAACAGCTGGAGAATTGGGCTTGCTCTCAAAATGTCTCCTCACAAATCTTTTCATCATCACATCAGATGTGACAAATGTTACGGACAGGAGAAGCGATTCAAGTCTTTGCACTAAAGATGGACTATAAACAGGCTGCCTTTGGAAATGAGGCTCCCTTTGGGAACTATACTGCCTCTCACCAGCTGTCCGAGTGTTCTCTGGGTTTGCTGGGGAAGGACACTCCTATGGATGGTTGTGGTGGGAGGTGAGTTTGTGAGGTGGAACTTCTTAGGAGGTTGAACATTTGTTTAAGCATTACTTGAGGTCTCTTGACTTCCTCCTGTCTGCACTCGAATAAGTGGAAAGGAATGTTTTTATGGAGTAGAAAAGTTAGATGTTTGAAGGCTTCATCCAAAACTAAGGGGGAAAAAATCAAGCAGTATTTATAAGCAAATTGTGTTGGAAGTGTCTCATGTCAATGGATTCACTTCATCCAGAGAGGCAGTGTGCCCCAGTGAGGCCCTGTTGAGGGCCTGATCTGCCTCTGTGTAGTTTGCATTATGACTTTTTACAAGCCATGCCTTACTGTAAACAGAACCATTGTCTTCAGGCTGTGATGGTGTTCTGCCAGCCTCAGAAGGGAATTACAAAATGACTTTCTCATTAAAAATATTTAGAACAATGGAAAGTCCAGTTAAATACTGTGAAGAAGTGATTCATAATGAGTGGTCAAACACTGGAAAAGATTGCTCAAAGTCGTTGCTTAGGAGATGCTCAGAAATTAACTGGATAACCGTCCAAGCAACTTGGTAAAACCCAATTGCTTCAGAGCAGGAGGCTGCACTACAGATGTCCAGGACATCATTACCAGCTGGGGCTTTCTGTGGTTACAGTACTCCTCAGGATTCCTGAAATGATGTCTAGTTGTTGTTTGGAAACAGAGCTGGAGTTATGTTTGCTTTATTTCTTCGGAGTTATGTGAAAAACAAACCCAACATAGCTAATAAACGTACATCATCAGCTGTGATGAAATGGATCCTGTGTGTATGTGAGCCAACTGGGAATGGTTTTAATTTACAGACTGCTGGAGGACTACATGAGAGCCATAGAAGGCGTGAAAAAGCATCTTCTTCAGAGGTCACAACCCAAGAAGCTTACCTTTGTAGGAGAGCTTGCTCATGGCCATTTCAGTGCCAAGATGGTAAGAGAACACCTGCACATAACAACAAGAAAACGAGCAAAACCACCACCACAAAGAAAAAACCAACATATGCAAGTGTGAGGCTGGGATGCTCTCATGTGTGGCTTTTCAGACAAAATCTGACCTGTAGCAATCACTTTGTGAGCAAAAATGTTTCCTCTGGCTGTTTGAGCCACTACTGGAAGATGATTAGCAACAGCATGGACAGTTTACACGTAGCTGAGATGTGAGGAGCACTGCAGAGAGACTGGGGGAATTGCTGCAGCTCCACCAGGCTCATCAGCCTGTTTTCAAAGGCTGCAGGCTCTGTGGATGTGTATGGATGTAGTAACAGCAACTAGTTTGAGGATAATGGTTAGCCGGGGACCTTCTCTTTCACCAGCAACTGCATTTACATTCATGTGAAAGTTAACATGTTGGTGTTGGATTTGAATTCTGCCCCAACGCACCTCCTTTGCCATAGAATCCCAGTGTCAGAAACTGCTGTGATGTCTGTTCTGTGTAATACTTCTCCATAATTCAGAGATACAAAAATTTAAAGGTACACCTGGCTTTGCAGATTAACCTTGAAAACAAGCAGTTGACCTCATCTTGCTCTGTTAGTAGTAAAAAATGAAAAAATGAGAATTTTGGAGGGTTCTGTCTATTTGTGATACTTCTTTTTCTGCATGTGTGTTCAGTGTTTGAAGCAGCCATTTGCTGATGGGAAAACTTGCTAAGCTGAACTCCCTGCTCTTACTCTGCAAAGTCACACTCCTTAAAATCTGGTTGTAAAATCTTTCAGTGAAGGATCTTATGCAAATACACGTAGCCTTTTTTTTTTTGTGGTGCATCACTGATGTATGTGTGGCCTTGTGTGCACTTCTTCAGTACCTGCAGTGAGCTTTAAGGAACTCTTTGGGCTGTTTGTTTTCTTTATAGCGTCCAGCTCTGTTTTGCAGCATGATGTCACGCTCCTGTGCTTATGCTGAACCTCAACCAATGCCCATGGAATTGGACAGAGTGTTCAGCAGTTCGTACCAGTGCTGCCTGAGCACCAGGACACGTGTCCTCTGTTCAAGTGGGAAACCAGGGCTTTCATTCCACATGTTAAGAATCATTTGGAATTCCGTACGTGACAATAACCCTGTAACAATTCCTACATTCATAATATCAGCAGTGGGTTCCCCCTGGAAAGAGGATGGTCAGTCCTGTAGTGCACATTGAAAGTTGTTGGAGCTGACTTCTGGAGCTGTTTTCCTATGTGTTCAGCTGACTTGGGCAGCTGAGAAGGCTTTGTTGCTTCCAGACGTGGCCCATCTCTTGTGGAGCTAGCGTTCCTTCCATCCTTTGAAGGCACTGTTGCTGTAGCGTGGAAAAGCTGAGGAAGGAATGTCCCTGGAGTTCTTTCACTCCCATTTTGTGCTGGGGGAGCAAGCAGGAGGAGTGTGTGCATGCTCACCCCCAGATGCCTCTATTGTGTGACACACAGGAGCCAGATGTGCCTTGTTTGCAGTGCCTGCATGCAGCTAGCAGTGCAGTGCAGAGGTGGGCAGGGCTGGGAGTGGGAGCCAGCTGCTTCCTGTGCTACAAGCTTGGTGCTTGTAGCAGGTGAGCATGAAATAACACAGCCCAAATGACAGAAGGGGGTAAGTCTTCAGGCAGAAATATGTTTGAGAACTTGTCTGTGTTTTCCACTTGTATCAGCGCATGGAGTGAAGGCGGTTGTGTCTCTGTGAGCGTTGTCTGTGTTGCAGTAACACTGAGGTGATTATTTCAGGCCAGGGACTCAGCTCTCCCCATTCCTCAGAGCCCTTTCTCGTGGCTGACTCTTCTCACTCTGTGGTCCCACCTCAGTTTTTGTTCTAAAATATTGACATGTATGTCAATACCTGTCTTTACGTGTTCTTTATTGAGAACCCTTCAGGTGATCCCTGCCTCTCCCCTCCCCCCTACCTGCCACCTTTCTTTGAGATAGTTGTGGACTTGTACTTTTTCCAGATTTGGGCTGGTGCTGTCATAATGCTTCCTGTTCTGTATTGCACTGCAGCAGGTTGTTAAAATTTACCCTCAAGATCTTGGTACCTGAAGTGTCAGGGGGAAAAACGTCACAGTCTGTGTTCCAGTAGTGTCAAATGAATCCTACTTCACTTGATTTGTGTGACCTCTCTTCCTAGTAAGAGTTGTCTTGTCTTACAGGATCACTTAGTTTGTTTTCTGCCTGGGACTTTGGCTCTGGGAGCTCACAATGGATTGACTGCTGATCACATGAAGCTGGCTGAAGCTCTGATAGAAACGTGTTACCAGATGTATGCACAAGTAGAGACGGGCCTGAGCCCAGAGATCGTGCACTTCAATCTCCATGCACAAAAGGGCCACAAAGATGTAGAAATCAAGGTGAGCAGCCAACTGGCATCAGCTGTAGTTTGATGACCCTTCTTATCTTGATTCTGCTGCTGAATATCCCAGCCACACCTTGGTGATGTACTTTGTAAAGTGGCTTGATCTGTTGCTGCATTGCTTTGCAGGTGTACCCTAGCCCTTGTTTTTAATTACCCCTGCAGAGGATTTAGCTTCTGAATTGTGCACAGAAAACTCTTTTTGGGTTGGATGGGAGTTGCTGTTTCTCCCCCTGTGTGTGCTTTTGGAGGAACTACTGGTCTGAATTCTTGGCTTTCTTATTTTTCTCTTGCAGCCTGCAGACAGGCACAACTTACTGCGACCAGAAACTGTGGAAAGCCTTTTTTATATGTACAGATTCACCGGAGATAAGAAATACCAGGACTGGGGCTGGGAGATCTTGCAGAACTTCAATAAATACACACGGGTAAGGTCAGCTCGTAATGCTCTCATTCTTACAGAACTGAACTCTCTTGCTCTCTAACAAGAGCTGCTGAAAGCTCGCTTTGTCTCGCAAAGCCATCAAAGATCTGCAGGGAATCTCTTAAGAGCAAAACGAAAGTCAGGTAACGCAGAGTCTTACAGTTGAGGGTGCACAAAATAGTTGCAAGTTATTTCAGTGACTGTACTTCTACACTAATTGAAAAGTAAAAGCAGCTCTGTGCAGACTACCAAAACTTTTCTGTGTCTTCTTGGAAGCTGTTAGAATCTGTGCTGTGATCTTTAACATTCAGAAGCTGAGAAAGATCTTGCTGGATTGAAACAGCACTTTGGTTGCCAGATACAAACTGCCAAGGGAAGTTCACTAATGCCATAATAGAGGGCTTTTGTGTACTCATGCTGATGAGAGTGCTAAGAAGAGTCCATTTTGACATGCTGAGAAAGCATAGTGCCAATGGGGATTAAATGTCTTCTTGAGAAGAGGCCACAGATGAGTGTGGTGCTCTGGCCAGCTGTAAGTGCCCGTTATCTCCTGTACCTTTGTCCACAGATGTTAGTGCTGCAGGCTTTGCTCTATCTCTACAAATTGAGCATAAGTGGGCGTTTTGCTTCGTTTTGTTCTGTGTTCTGCATTCAGTGGTTTGCCCAGAATTCAGTGAACTGCACAGAATTTTTGTAACAGATTTTTACGTGCAAACGAAAAGCAAGAACGAATTCTGCTCACTAGCACTTGTTTTTCTGCAAGAGCACCTGCGTGCTAAGAGGTTACAACAATATTTCAGGTAAAAGAAATATACAAAGTGCTCTTTTTTCTCTTCTGCAGGTTCCTACGGGTGGCTATACTTCTATTAACAACGTTCAGAACCCCAGTAACCCAGAGCCACGAGATAAGATGGAGAGCTTCTTTCTTGGGGAAACGCTCAAATACATGTTTCTGCTGTTCTCAGATGACATAGACTTAATTAATCTTGACAAATACGTATTTAACACAGAAGCTCATCCACTCCCCATCTGGGTGCCAGCATAGACTGGATCACAGCAGGGCTTCCAGTGGTGGTGTTTTACCTTCAAGTCACTTTACTTTTCAGGGTGTGTGGAGAGATGCTGTACGACACTTTTCCGGCTTAAACAAACCTTTGAGAAAGCATCTCTCATTTGGAGATGTCACGTCAGTCTTAAACCTAATCCCTGTGCTTTGGACCTGGAATGAAAAAGCTGTGCAATATGAAGCTGCTTTTCCTGGTATTGGTGGTGAGGCTCAGAGAATATTCATAGCGTGGACCATGGCACAGGGCTCCGGTGGATCAGAACCCCTGCTGTCAGTCTTATTAAATGCTAATTAAATGCCAGGGATGCAGAAAGTTGTCTTAAAGCACAGGAGTGTCTGGAAAGAAGGAATAAGCCTACAGGTTTCTGGTTTATTCCCAACATATGAAACACCTGGTTATGGCACCACTTCTTTTGTAGTGCCCGTGGTGTTTCAGATGGTAAGTGGAATAAACAGTGGATGTTGTCCCAGGTGGAATTAAAGCTGTCAGTGGTGGTGCTGATGGTCAGATCTCATTCCAAACAACCAAGCTATGCTGCATCGTGTTAGGAGGAGGAAGGGGCAGCAAAGTGTCTGTAGCACAGTGTCTTAGTTTTATAGAGCACTTTGAACAGTCTGTTCAAGCGGTGGCTGAAATGAATGGTGGGAGAGAATTTGCTGCTGGTTTGGCTCAAAACGATATATAATTTTGTAGACATATTGCAGTTTTTTAACTTATCTGCAGCAATGCAGGAGACAATGTGAAAAAAGTGAATACACGTGCATTTTATGTATTAATTGCATCAGTTAGACTCAGGTATTCTGACTGAAAGCTGCTTTGTGAGGTTGGGCACTGGGAAAGCTTGTGAGCGCATTAGGTGTAATTCCACGTCAGCCTCCTCCCATCCCCTCCTGTTCACATCTTGCATTGTGTTTGTTGACCAAGTGGGCTTAGAACTGTATAGCAAGCTTCATGTTACTCATCAGTTTGTGGACTGTGGAGAAGCTGTCAGGTTTGGGGTTGTTGTTTTTGATAGGAGTACTTTGGGTAGAAGTATTTCCACGAGGAGCTCTACGAGCAGACAGCCTCCACGTGTTGTGACAACTTCACAACAGTTACAGCAGTTACTGAAATCTGTTCTGTTTGAAAAGAAAGCAGAGCTAGGCTTGCTTCTTAAAGAATCCTATGGGAGCCTTCGGACCTTCTGTTTTTACATGTGCAAGATAGGTTTTAAACCATGAATTAGGAATTGAGTGTTCTTCTGTTCCAGCATTCTGCAGCTTTCTATCTTTGGATTTTGTAACTGTATGCACAGTCTTACTTTCACCAATCTCAGAAATGTGCTTGTTTGTATGTTTTTAAAGAGATCCTTCTTGCTGAAACCTTTTTTCCTCTCTGATGAATGAATGGGAGCAGTGGGAAGTACGCAGTGTGTGGGGCTGGGGGTGAGACCCAGCCCCTTATAATCGAGGGTTTCAAAACAGAACGAATCCAATCTGACGCCACTGGTTGATCTCCAGCGCTTTGGGTGTCTGTGTGTTTTACAGCCTTTGTAACCTTTGATCTGTAAAGTAAAATGCTGCTTTGTTCTGTGCTGTCAAGTTCTGTTCACTGGATTCAGAACTTGTCCGTTGGCCCACTCGTAAATCCTTTGAAGAACATTTATCATTCCAGGTACTAACGAGGGCTTCTGGCAGAGGTGAAATGGTGCACATCACACAAACTCACCTTTTTTTCTGTCAGCAAAGGGGCCTGAGATTTCCTAGAGGACAAACCTGTGTGGATGGTTCGTGTTCCTCCTGCTCCAAGGACAGCAGTAACTTTGGAAGGTGGTGCTTGGCCTTGTGCTGCTGCTGCAGCTCGCGGTGATCCCTGAGCTGCACATTTGGCAGTGAAGGACACAAATTCCACAAGTGGCATTTCACCTACGGTGTTTCACAAACCCCACAGAGGAAATAAAGATAATTCTTACAATGTGGAATGCATTGAAGAGCTTGCCAGAAGTAAGTTGGTGGAATCCTGTACTAATCTTAGTGTAGTTAACTCTACAGCTGATTTTCTTTTGTCTCGTGTGAGGGTAATGCTAAACCATTGTAGAATGGGAGGAAGGAAGAAGAGTGAAGATGCACTTTCCCAAACACGCTTCTTGCCTCACAGCTGAGCTTGCTGGTCCAGCTCATTTCTGCTCAACCTAATTCTTCCTGGGAAACTGAGTTGTCTTTGCAAAGTGTCTCTACTGAACACATCCCTTAAACATGAAGATGCTTAGCTCTGTTTAGTTTAGAAAGCAAATGCTCGACTTCTCTATCACGTATGAAATGATACAAAGCTAAATAATCTGATAAGAGCTCATCTGCTTCTTCTGTTCTTCTGCAGAGGTCCTTCAAATGGCTTGGTTTTGCTTCCTCAGCGTAATGTGTTGTCAGCCTATGAACTTTGCCCTTCTTTCTCCTATTCACGTCTCCCCGCTGCCCTCCCTGAAGCCCAACAGGAACTTTGCACACCTTTAAATTCTTACCTTTCCCCCATGGTGTGGGGTTGTACTCTTGTGCTTATTTGAACCAAAGCCTTAACTTTGGGGTCTGTAATCCACTGTGGGGTTTTGTCACTGTGGTGTGGTTGTGATCAGGTTGAACGTCAGGGAAAAGTTATTCAAGCCAAGATTTCCTCCTTTTGCTCAAAGAGCCACCTTGGTTTCTCTCCAAGAGCTTGAGTGCCTTTTCTGATTAAAATAAAGCAAAAACGTCCAGCCCTTCCCAGCTGTACCGTTCATTGAGAAATGGATGGGGTAAGAGCCATCAGGGCTGGCAGCATCCTGCTTGCAGTCTAACCTGTTTGCTCAAAGAAAATTCAGTATCTGGATGCCGGCACATTTAGTATCTCGTCTGTTCAACCTTCTTGAGCGTGGAACTTTCCATACCAGGCATGGAAGCCAGCAGCTTGGCAAAGCCCATGGCATTGGCTTACAGGGAGCTTTTGTGTTTCACACCGCCTTCTGACTGTGAGGTTCTCAGCATTGCGTGCCAAGCTCAAACACTGCAGTGTTTGCACCTCCAACTTTGAGCAATCAGCTTTCTTTCCTATTTCATTCTGTGATGTTGCAGAGATAAAGGATAAAGGATTTCTTTGCCATATTTGAACAGTTTGTGGCAGTTCTGCTCTTGAAGACTTATAAAATTATTTATATAACACTTCATGCATATCCCTCACACTGGACTCCTTTGGGGCAAGTACTGACTGCAGCAGGAAACTGAGGGATTCCTGTAGTCCACTGCAAGACTTAAAGAACTTGTATCCCTCTGGAAGGTGAGAAGACACCTTTGGAACCTGTTGATGGGAAGGCTCAAGGCAAGCACTGTCCAAATGGTAAATTGCAGACTCCTAGCCCAAAGACTGATACTGAAGTTGGCTGCTGTGATGCATTGCTGGCTTGGTTTAGAGTGTCTGCTTGCTGGGAGCTGCGCTAAGGCAGGGACAAAGGCAGTCGAGGCAAGATGTCATCCTGTCTGCACTGACACCTGCTGCTATCTGCCTTTTTTATGTGGTGCTAATCCTGAACCATTGCTAGGGTAGAGCACATCTCTGCAGAAGTTGGGGTTTGTGTGCACAGAGGGAGAATGCCAGACTCCATCTCTGCGTGGCTGGAGGTGGCAGAGCTGATTGAGCCATAATTTCAGCAAGACAACCTGAAGCCTGACTTGGGTGTGAGCCAAAGGCATGCTGACAGATCTAGCAGAGGTAGCAGACTTTCCTACAGCACAAGGGGAAAAAAATTCTTACTGAGGTTGTAGTTCCATTAACAGTCGTGAAGCCCCATGCTTGGGGCTGGAGTTTGCCTAATGAGGTGTTCTGTAGGTTGCTCTCCATTGGTAAATAATTTGGTGGTCCTGTTCTTCCTCTCCGTACCCCTCCAAGAGAAGCTTTGTCCTTTCGAGCTTAAGAACAGGGAAGAGGTAAGTTGGTCATATGCAAAAAAGCAACAGCAACGAAGACGAAGCACAGACCTTTTATCAGCACCTCAGTGTTGTGAAATAAGAGACCAACAGTCCAACTCTGGGAACCAGTGCACTGTGACAGCAGGGGGGACCTGGCAGCGCGAGGACTTGTGTGTAAGTTGGAGCAGTGCTGTGACTGTAAGCAGTGCAAGCCTGTGGTGAGCAGAGGCTTCTCCACTGCCTGAAAGGCACTGCACACTGATTAAATGAGGCATCCAACTGTTGACCAAAACACGTATTCTTACAGTTCTGCTGCTATTTACTGGCACAGAGCACATTGAGTAGGTGAGAATCTACCTGCTAAAGGGCACAGATAGTTTGCTCCGCTTTAAAAAATCAGAACAATCCTTTTTTGTTGTCTTTGGTTATACTTACCAAGCAATGAAATTGTCACACACTTAAATAAACTTGTTATTTATTTTAAAGAGCTGAAGCTGTCTCAAGTATAACTGTGCTTCTACTCACTAACGTGTGGCTCCTGAGGGACAGTGGGACAGAACAGGATTTCTGCAAATCAATTTCTCACCAAGCAGATCTTGTGTTTTGTCGTCTTATTTTCTTGTGTCTCTTAAGAAACAACAGCAAAAGAGAACACCAAAATCCACAGCACTGAATGGGGCTGAGCGGGTGAGGACTGGAGCAGACCAACCTGCAGCACAGAGCCCAGCACAGGGTGCAGAGATGGTGGGGGCCTGGAGCACCTCCTGATGGGGAAAGGCTGAGAGCCCCGGGGCTGTTCAGCTGCAGGAGGGAAGGGGAGAGGGGATCTGATCAGTGACTGTAAGTATTCAATGGGCAGGAGTCAAGTGGATGGGGCCAGGCTCTGCTCAGTGACAGGACAAGGGGAGATGGGCACAAACCTGCCTGGATGTCTTCCGTGCAGCCTGCTCAAAGCCTGCTGTAGGACCAAACAGGATCTTCAGTGGATCCTCCTAACCCCTACAGTTCTGTAATTCTGCAATATGTGCAGTTGGTCACCTGTGAGGCCAAATATGTAATGACCATACCTCCGCTTTTCCTCTAGACAGAGAAAATAAACAGGGGATGACTAATAGTTTACCTTCATCCTACTCAACGCGTTCTTCAGGACAGCAATGACTCCTTGGCCTTCAGGAAAATTTTATTGTTTCCACCATTTCAAGCAGCTTCCCATTATGAGCAGAAGAGCACGAAACCCATGCAACATGATTCTGACTTCAGTCAGTAATTTGGCTTTTTGGTTTTCTTCTCCTGCTTGAATTTCCATTACTGGGGCAGAGAAGGCAGCACCTTCTCCAGAAGCACAGCTCTGCTCTGCCTGCAGCCCAGCAGCTCCTGAGCATGGCTCCCATGGCTGCGCTCACTGCCAGCCGCTGCCCAGCGCTCCGGAGCGTTTCTCCCATGCTCTTTCCATCCTTGCAGATTTCACCCAGCTGCTGATGATGCTTGCTTCTAACTTGCGTGCCTCTATGACAGATGGGGGGTCAGCTGGGTTGTGTCCCCTGGGGACAACAGAAGCATCAGAAAAATTGAGTGCGCCCTCAGCAAGTTTGCAGATGACACCAAACCGAGCAGCGCAGTCAATGAACTGGAGGGAAGGGAAGCCATCCAGAGGGACCTGGACAGGCTGGAGAAGTGGGCCCATGAAAACCCAGTAAGTTTCAATAAGGCCAAGTGCAGGGTGCTGCATTGGGTTGGGGCAGTCCTGGGTATTGATACAGACTGGGGGAAGATTCCTTGAGTGCAGCCCTGCGGAGAAGGACTTGGGGTCCTGGTGGGTGAGAAGCTGGACGTGAGGCAGCAGTGAGCGCCTGCAGCCCGGAAGGCCAGCTGTGTTGTGGGCTGCATGAAAAAGGGGCGGCCAGCAGGAGAGGGAGGTGATCGTCGTCCTCTGCTTGGCTCCTGTGAGGCCCCATCTGCAGCGCTGCGTCCAGGCCTGGGGCTCCAGCACAGGAAGGACGTGGAGCTCTGGGAGCGGGTCCAGAGGAGGCACTGAGATGAGCAGAGGGCTGGAGCAGCTCTGTGTGAGGAAAGGCTGAGGGAACTGGGCCTGTTGAGCTTGGGGAAGAGAAGGCTGCAGGGATCTGCAGAGACCTCATGGTGGCCTTCCAGTACTTGGAGGGAGCGTAGAAACAGGAGGGGGAACGACTGTTTGTGAGGGTGGATGGTGATGGGACAAGGGGAATGGTTTTAAAGTGAGACAGGGGAGGTTGAGGTAGGATGTTAGAAGGAAGTTTTTGAGCCAGAGGGTGGTGAGGCACTGGCACAGGTTGCCCAAGGAGGCTGTGGATGCCCCATCCCTGCAGGCATTCAAGGCCAGGCTGGATGTGGCTCTGGGCAGCCTGGGCTGCTGGTTGGTGACCTGCACACAGCAGGGGGTTGGAACTGGACGACCTTTGAGGTTCTTTTCAATGCAGGGTATTCTATTATTCTTTGAGACTCTAAGAGCGTTTGTATTAGGTTTAAAAAAGGATTCTTCTTGAGTGATGCTGTAGCATCATGGTATCCAGTTCTGCTTAGATAATATTATCTCCTCGGTCCTTGGCCCAGGGTAGCAGGAATTTGCCAAAGATCAGTGCCAGAAGCTGTCAGTGCACACATACTCACCGCAGATCCAAGTGATGAGCACCTCCCTGAATGGTCACAGCAGTCAGCGAAGGACTCAGGCTGCTATTTATCTGGAATGAGAGCAGCAGAGAAAAACTCTCACCAGGTGACCAGGCAAAACCAGACCTCAGTTCTGAAAACTGGATGAAGAGCTGGGAAGGACTGGGGAAAAGCATGTAAAGAGATCCATGGTGCAGCCAGTACCGTGCTCACAGGATGTGTGGGCCAAGATGGGAACTGTCAACCTAACCCAGCACAGGCAGGCTGAAAATGCTGGCTCCTCATGGCGACCTGCTCTAAGCAACCTGCTCCTTTTGCTGCTGGCACTGCTAAGGCAGCCTGCAGCAAGGGATGCCTGCATTATAATTAAGAGCTCAACTAACTCTGCATCCTGCTTTGGGTCCTTTTTAACCAGAGCTCAGAAGTTTTGTTGAATCTAAACTGAAATGCTTCTTGCTTTGTCTGCTGGTTACAGCAACAGCCTGATCTCACAATGTATGTGGAGAGGGGAGAAATCACAGAGCACTGAATTGACCGAGACTGTCTCAAAACAGAATTGCAACAGGTTCTTAGAATTATAGGATCACAGAGTGGTTTGGGTTGGAAGAGACCTTAAAGCCCATTCAGTTTTAAGCCCTGCCACAGTCGGTGCACCTCCCATCCAGCAGGCTGCCCAGGGCCGCATCTGACCCAGCCCTGAGCACCCCCAGGGTTGGGGCAGGCCAACCAGGTTCTGGGGCTCCCACTGAGCCTACCGCTCCTGAAGCTACCACTGCCACAGCAACATTCCTGGCTGTGGCATCTCACTGCTCCAAGTGCCTGTTATTAATGTCCCCAGAGACTGCGGCATAAAACAGCCGCATGCAGAAACTCACAAGGGCTCACACTGACCAGCAGGGCTGCTCTGAACGGGCCGTGGGCAGATCCTGCCCAAAAGGCAGCTCTCTCTGCTTGGCAGCAGCAGTGCATGCACTTACCCCACCTCCAGCCCACGGGTCCAAGTCTCCATTTGAAAAGATGATATTGCTTGCACTTTTCAGGTCTGAAATTCAAAGGTGACATGTGAGAGCCTCATCCTACCCAGCAACTGCAGCAAACACAGACGAGAACTTCCTGTTTCCATCTCAAGCTGTGTCTGTCCCCATAGAGCTCAGCCAGGTGGAACACAGGGAGAGCTGCACAGCAGCACGAAGGGCCGAGCAGGTGGCACCTCCGCAGCAGACGCACCTCCTCCCCAGAAGTTGATTTGCAGCCACTGCGCTCGCGGCCTCACTCGCCATCGGCTCCAACAGTACTGCTCTCTCATGGCCTCTGTGAAGGGCATCTCAGGGAACATGTCTGTCACGTTGTTGCTGTTGAAAGTTAAGTTGATCTCGGTACACACCTGAAACAGAACACGAGCTGGCATGGAGGAGGAGTTGGCGGCGCAGCATCCCTGCTGGCATCCCCAGTGCCTCACCTGGTAGTCCCAGGCCTCAGCATCCGCACCAGTGCCGCAGCCCGTGGGGTCGGCGCAGGACCGGAACAGCTGGTACACATCATAGCACCGCGCCGAGCCGGAGGAGTTGTAGAACACCCCTGCCAAGTGGGAAGAGCACAGACAGACCCCTCAGTGTGGTGCCCTCTGCCGCTGCATCCGCAGGCTTCCTGCAGACCAGCACCAGCCGGGGGGTGGCCGGGGCTGCAGCAGGTGCAGAGCAAAGCACCAGCTGTAGGTTACGGTCACAGCTTTACACCTCACCGCTGCCTGTGTATTACAGCCCACTCTGCAATGAGCTCTGCTCACCCCAGAAGCTGTGACCCATTCTTCAGCCCCTCCACCTCCAACCCAACTCTCCAGCACCGTGCGTGGGAATCTTCCTGAGACCCAACCGCGATGGGTGCAACTGCTGCGACCACCCCACTCCCTAAAAACTGCCGTTGTGTGAACGCATCGAATTGAACACGAGGGCCGATGTGGGGGAGTGCATCCTAGACAGGATTTTGTTTCACTGTTGTTTAAAAAGGGAAGGCCGGCATGTGCAGGCTTGCCTGATGAAAGAGCACCTGCCCAGCAAAGCACTGCTGGGGAGCGCTGGAGGAACAGGCTGCTTTTGTGCAGAGGGGCCGTTACCGGACAGCAGGGCAGGAATGCAGTTACACCAGTGGCTGCCTACTGCTGCCAGAGCCAAAGGACCCACAAGCGCCGTGCGGGACCCAGCACTGCAGGGAGGTCTGCGTGCAGGCAGCACCGCCTCGGCTGTCCTGGAGCATGAACCTGCAGACCTGGGGCTGCTCCTGGCATACGTGCTTTTAGAGCAATGCTGCTGGCTTGCAGAGCAGCATGGGGAGCCTCGGGTCTGACACCTACCTGGAGAAACTTCTGCAAGGCATCAGCAGGCTTCGCGCCCAGAAAGCACTGTGCGATGTAACACTGGAGGCAGAAGGGGTTTGCTTTCCAGCACACAAGATCATTTTAGCATCAGCAAGTAATTATTGCAAGATTCTATTTGTTGGGAACGCGACAAGGACGGGGAGTGTGGATGGAAGCATTCGTCTCAATGCTGTCAGTGCCGCGGGGCTGAGCAACATCCTCAGCTTCATTTACTCCAACAAATTAGATCTCTCCTTACAGAACGTGGAGGAGACATTCAAGGCTGCAGAAGCCCTGCTGGTTGGAGAGGTGATCAGCCTGTGTTTCCGATTTCTGGAAAGCTGCTTGAGCGGTGAGAACTGCATGGACATTCTACGCATTGCCAAAAAACTTGGCCCCGCACAGCTGAGAGAGAAGGCCATGTGCTGCGTAGGGCAGCATTTCAAACAGCTCCTGGCCAATCCCCAGAGCCTGAAGGATCTCGAC